CCACCACATCATATAATCTGGCTTTAAGTTTACTGAGCTTCATCCTGAAAGCAGGTGGGTTCATTGTGCTGCCCACTTCTGTTGGGAAGCAGTGGTAAACATCCCCTCTTCAGTGGGAAGCTTTACTCTCAATTCCAGCCCACAGTTGTTACTTATGGTTAGTTTATATCTATGTATTCTTTGGTCAGTGTTATCCTTTAGTTCTCTTTTGTCCTTGTCTCTTTGTCCATCCAGCTGCTGTTTTGTTAGGCTAGGTGAGCTAACCAGTTTATATCCCTACTGGTGTTGTAAGCTCCCATTCATCCCTCCCATGTAAGTGATGCTTCTCTGCACCTGATGTGCTTTCTCTTTTCTTCTATCAGTAACTAGATAGTGTAGTTACTATCTAGTATAGTCTACTATTGCCTGGCATGAAGACATTACTATTTTCCTTTCCTCTACTGGAAATAAATTTAGGAGGTTTGATGCCTGCAGTGATATCTTATGGTGAGTCACCACACCATCTTAATTCACTTTTCTGTCTCTTTAAATAGATTACTCCTACATTTGGAATAAGGGTTCATATTGACATTGGCCATCATATTTAACCCTGTTCCTGTCATTGCAGTCGTCAAGTTCATTCATTTCTTCTTCTGATAAACCAGTCATCCTTTATATTGACAGATGTGCTGAAGCACAAGCCTGTGGTCACTAAAGAAAAACTAGATCACTCCCTGGACCAGCATTCAAGGAATCCAGTACTGAAGTAGAAGAATGCTGTACAGAGTTAAACCCTCATCCATCCATGTGCATTCATCTGATTTTGGATATACCATGTATCTTCTAGCCATAACCAATAATTTCTGCTTCAATTACTTTACATACCTTCTTGCCTCATCCCTTAGCGGCAAACTCTCCAATCTGTGGTTTTCCAAAAGAGAACTGCTGCTTTATTTTTCCTTTCTTTTGTAAAAACCTGATGTAAAAGAGGAGGTTTTGTCCCAGTTGAACTTTTCCCCCAGTTTCAACTTCCATATCTGTTTCCTTCCATACTTGTTTCACTTCCTTGCTTGTTGATTAACTTTCGAGTTACAGACCTGTGGTTGTGTCACCCTTTTGTTCTTTCTTGCTATTGTTTGCTAATCTCTGTGCATATCCCACTGCTGGAACGAGTTAAAAATCCTTTTAAATGAATTTATAAGCTATTCTATGGGAGGATAATCCTGTTAAAGACTAGCTGGACTTCTGTGAAATAGACCCTCAGCATTTTGGTTCTGGAGAGAAGTCATTTAGCCAGCAGCGTGCTGGAGGACTTCGTTGCTCTTCTGCCCCCATTTCCCTTCTGAAAACCTTTGCTCAACTCTCTGTATGTTTTGCAAAGAGATTTGCCTAATCCCTGCTACAAATGTTCTGCATAATATAGGCCAAAAAGTGAACAGAAGGAGTGGCAGGAATGTACAGCTAGATTAGGGCTGTGGTATTTCCTCTCGCAGCAAGATGGGCCTAGATTAAACACTCATAAATTACCAGTAATTTAACATGATTATGGCTTTACAGGAAGTGTGGAAACCTTCCCCTTCCTCCAGAGGAACCCCTTTCTGCAGTCTTACATTCATCTGAAAGTTGTTTTCCTGCTGCAGGTCTCTTCTCAAGTCACGTCCCTTCCCAGTTGCGGGTAAACATGATGGTATCTCTTTTGTTCAGCATCTTCACATTGGATTTTTGCCAGGTTTTTGACACTTTCATAACAAAGTGACCTTGAAAAGTGGTATTTCTGTCATGTCTAAAAGCTTCTCTTTGAGAGCTCCTTTAGAAAGCGGAAGACTCACTATCCAGACATAGCCTTTGCTCTACTTTTTGAGGCTGATGACATCTTCGCATGGCTTATGGGAGGATGGGGTAATGGTCAGTGTACTACACAGCACTGAGTTATAGTGGATTTCTTCCAAACCTGATCTCCACTGAAAGTGAATCACTGCCCATTGCAACACTGTGGGAATGTGGTAAAAGGTTAATGATTAGATCTTAGGAAGACGCTCTTCCCTGTGAGGGTGCTGAGGTGCTGGCACAGGGTGCCCAGAGAAGCTGTGGCTGCCGCATCTCTGGCAGTGTTCAAGGCCAGGTTGGACACAGGGGCTTGGAGCAAGCTGCTCTGGTGGAAGGGGTCCCTGCCCGTGGCAGGGGTTGGAGCTGGATGAGCTTTAAGGTCCCTTCCAACACAAACAATTCTATGATGATTTAACCTTTAGAATTAAACCCAAAGAATTTAAACATGAAAAAGGCCTTTTCTTTGGTATAAACTTGTTTTTCTTTGCAGAGCTGTTTTGATTTCAGCTGGGCTTCTTTTACAAGAAGGAACATAGTACAGAGCTGACAAGAAGAGTGAAGTCTCTGGCATGTCTGTTTTGCTTGTTATAACTTGGTGAAATTCATGGCTTGCAGGAGATGATGTTAAATCAATGAGGAAGGTGTGATAAGAATCAGATGTGATTTTTACCTGGTTGAGAACTGTCTCAAATTGAGATTTGAATCTACTTTGTGAGGATTTAGAAGAGCAACCTTGTTACGTAGGTACATCTCTGCTTCAAAGAGCCTTATTTCCATTTGGAACTGAATTTCTTGCAAACCTCTAAGTATGGATTTTTGATCCTGGAGGTGCTGTAATTCTTTGGGATTTTATGGTCATAGTTTGGTAGTTTCACTTTTCTTTGGGATGGATCTTCTGCAGCAGGACTCCTGAAATATAGAATCATAGAATAGTTAGGGTTGGAAAGGACCTTAAGATCACTGAGTTTCGACCCCCTGCCATGGCAGGGAAGCCCCACTCCAGGCCGTGTCATCCAAGGCTCTGTCCAACCTGGCCTTGAACACCGCCAGGGATGGAGCATTCACAGCTTCCCTGGACAACCCATTCCAGTGCCTCAGCACCCTCACAGTAAAGAACTTCTTCCTTATATCCAATCTAAACTTCCACTGTTTCAGTTTGAACCTCTTACCCCTTGTATCACTCTATATAAGTGCTCGTATTAAGAGTATTGGTTCAGACATGGCCTGCACGCTCTTGTGCTTTGTTTTAAGAAGTGAAACTCTTTTATTCAGCACTTTCTGAAGTTTTTTCTGCCTCTATATAGCCTCATCCATTGTACTTCTCATTAAAGGATTTGGAAATTGGTGTTTCAATGTTATAGATATCTAACCAATGGCGTGTGAAAGTGTGCAGTGTAATTTATGTAAGCAGTAGTCTGTGTTTTTTTTAATAGGTTTGATCTTTTTCCTAAATTGCATGTCATTTTATTCCCATTCGTTCTCAAAATTATGATTTGTGGTTAGGCAAAAAACAGCTGAATCTGCATCTCTTCTGCTGAGAAATGTACCATTTCCTTACGCTTCACTTAAACTTCTCAATATTTCCTTGTACTTTTGCTTAGCCAGGACAGTGAAAAACCATCTAAATCAGACTGGGAGAGTGGTCTTAAAGAAATAACCACTGTACAATCACAGACAGGTTTGGGTTGGAAGGGACCTTAAAGCTCATCCAGTTCCAACCCCTGCCACAGGCAGGGACCCCTTCCACTAGAGCAGCTTGCTCCAAGCCCCTGTGTCCAACCTGACCTTGAACACTGCCAGGGATGGGGCAGCCACAGCTTCTCTGGGCACCCTGTGCCAGCGCCTCAGCACCCTCACAGGGAAGAGCTTCTGCCTAAGAGCTCAGCTCAGTCTCCCCTCTGGCAGGTTCAAGCCATTCCCCTTGGCCTGTCCCTACAGGCCCTTGTCCCAAGCCCCTCTCCAGGTTTCCTGCAGCCCCTTTAGGCACTGGAGCTGCTCTCAGGTCTCCCCTTCAGGAGCCTTCTCTTCTCCAGGCTGACCCAGCCCAGCTCTCTCAGCCTGCCTCCAGAGCAGAGCTGCTCCAGCCCTCGCAGCATCCCTGGCAATGTTCAAGGCCAGGTTGGACAGAGCCTTGGGTGACATGGTTTAGTGTGAGATGTCTCTGCCCATGGCAGGGGGTTGGAACTGGATGATCTTAAGGTCCTTTCCAACCCAAACCATTCTGTGATTCTGTCTCCGTGGCTTCCTCTGGCCTCGCTCCAACAGCTCCACATCGCTTTTGTGCTGCTGCCCCAGAGCTGGATCAGGTCTGCAAGGGGGGTCTCCCCTTCACACAGCAGAGGGGCAGGATCCCCTCCCTGAGCTGCTGCTCACGCTCTGGGGGTGCAGCCCAGCACACGGGGGGTTCTGGGCTCAAGTGCACGCTGAAGCCGGGTCATGGGGAGCTTCTCCTCACCCAACACCCCAAGTCCTTCTCCTCAGGCTGCTCCATCCAGTCTCCCCCAGCCTGTGTTTGTGCTGGGATTGCCCCGACCCAGGGGCAGGACATTGCCCTTGGCCTTGTTGAACTCCATGAGGTTTGCACAGACCCACCTCTGCAGGCTGTGATCTGTGATGGTTCACTCCACCCAAGTTGTTCTGTGTGTGCACAGTGACCAGCGCATGAATAGTAAAGCTTGAACCGGTTTCATTTGGGAATGAGTCACTTGGTGACCTTAAAGTATCTGAAGGGAGTGTGGAGGAGGGAATTCCAAGAATAGGTTTAAGAAAAGGAAAAAACAAGCCAAACAAGCAACTCTTTTAAATACTAGGCTTGAACTATTTGGGGCTTTTATCTCCTTAAGGGATTGGGGTTTAATTCAGGAGCTGTGTAGTCAGTTTAACCCCATTTTACTGCCTGTTGCCAAGAAAGTAACCACCATCCAAGCAGAACTTTTTAGTTAAATGAGGTTTTTATTACTGTCCATAGATGTGAATAAAGAAGAATTAGAGGGTTTTTAGCCTTTAAGTAGCTACATGTGTTGTACCAAGATTAAACTTTGTATTATGTGTGAAAGCCAAAAACAACATCTGAAAAGGTGCAGCTCTGTGGATGAAAACTGTTGAACCTTTCTTTAATGAGTGAATGCAGCTTTATTTATTTAAAGTACATAGTACCCAATTCTAAATCTCTGCTTTTGGTTTCTATCTTACAGGGAACACAGTGAGTAACCTGATTTTCATTGTACCTCCGCTCTATGGTGCAATTCAGACCCATAAAGATGGCCTTGAAAAACGCTATTTAGCTGCATATTTGTGTCTTACAGGTATGTGTAAAGCTTCTTGTGCTGTTTCATTAGTAAGAGAGCTCTGATGTGCAATGAATAGTATCTAAATAGGAATTAACCAAGTAGTTAAATCCAAATACTATGTGTGTTTAATGTAAACCTCCTGTTATATTTGTTAATGTTTACTGAAAATTGCTATTTGTTAGGAAAACATAGAATCCTAGAATGGTTTGGGTTGGAAAGCACCCAAAGATCACCCAGTTCCAACCCCCTGCCATGGGCAGGGACACCTCGCACTAAACCGTGTCACCCAAGGCTCTGTCCAACCTGGCCTTGAACACTGCCAGGGATGGAGCATTCACCACTTCTTTGGGCTTGTAGAACAACATGTACCAAAATGTAGTCTAAATTAAAGCCTTGGTCAGTCACTGTGGCATAATTTTGGTGGTGTATCCTGTTGCTCCCTGGATTTTGGAAGTTTCAGGGAGTAAAAGGAGCAAGTTCCTCCTTAGACTGAACAGGAACTGAGTTTTCTCTTCTAAACTGACATTGCCTGTTTGATGTTGAATATTGAACTCAGCTTAATGCACTGATGATGTTTACTGTCTTAGCAAATAACATCTGTCCACCTGTAATGAACATGAAAAATAACATCACATAAAGATAGAATTCACTTAATAATTATATGAGATTTTGAAGTGATCCTCTTCTGGCTTGAAGTCCTTCTCAGTGCATTTTAGCTTCCTGCTTCCTTTTCTGATCATTTACAGACGATGTCCTGTGTGTCCTACTTCCAAACAGTTTCACACCATATTAATATCTTTGTGACATTTGTTTGGAACAGTAGTACAAGAAATGGCTGAGATCCTGAGGGAAATGGAAGGGATTTCTTTAATGAGTTTGCATTTGTTTTCAGTTCCTCTTTGGCATGTATCACCAGTAAAATGCCATTGTGTCTGGGAAGTTGTGCAGGGGTGGAAGAACAATGTGACATTAGTGCAGAGGTGAACTTAAGGGCAGTCTATTCTTTAAAGTAGCAAAATCCAGAAAAGAACCAACTTTCTTTAAAACATTAATGGTTACTCTGTTATCTGTAAAAGCACTGAAGTCTGTTACTGCATTTATAGCTCTAACAACTCTGTATGGCTGATAGTAATTAAAATGCTGCAAAGAATGAGGTTAGTTGAGGAGGCCTTTAATAATTATTTTGTTTTCCTTGAAGGTAGGTGATGGGGTGGTTCTGCACAGGACATTCCCTTGTACATAGAATCCCAGACTGGTTTGGGTTGGAAGGGACCTTAAAGCTCATTCAGTTCCAGTCCCCTGCCATGGGCCGGAACACCTTCCCCTAGAGCAGGTTGCTGCAAGCCCTGTCTTACCTGGCCTTATGTAACCCAAAGTTATTTTCCTTATGAGGAAAGATGTTTGAAGGTGATTCAGATTTGGCAGTTGGGTCTCAAAGCAAGTTTCACAGAATTCCTGTGTTTCACAGGGTTTCTGTGTTTGCTATACCTCTTATCTCTGTGGAAAGTTAAATCCTTCCCAGTCTTCGGTGATTTATAGTAAATCATAGAGTAGTTAAGGTTGGAAAGGACCTTAAGATCATCCAGTTCCAACCCCTCCTGCCATGGGCAGGGACACCTCACACTAAACCATGGCACCCAAGGCTCTGTCCAACCTGGCCTTGAACACTGCCAGGGATGGAGCATTCAAAACTTCCCTGGGCAACCCATTCCAGTGCCTCAGCACCCTCACAGTAAAGAACTTCTTCCTTGTATCCAGTCTAAACTTCCCCGTTACCCCTTGTCCTGTCACTACAGTCCCACTACAGCAGACATGCTATCACTGCAGTAGAAATGCTACTTCTAAGAATGGCACACTTCCCTATTTAGACAAACACTGTTGAAAACCACATATCCATATGCTAAATGTATTCTTGAAACCAGTTAAACTGCAACATACACTAGGTACAACTTCATGGTCTCTTAGCGTCAGCTTTGCTGATGTGTGAAAGAGAAGCAGCAGCAACGTACAGCTTTGGATGTGTCTGAATGCTTTCCAAATAGCCATTTGTAGGCTTTTTATGGGTTTGAGTAATTATTCATTTTTGTCTTAGGAGAACAAGGTTTGGCAGCAGGAATTCTTGAAGGTTGAGGTTTACTTCTAAAAAGATGGGAAAAAACAGTGTGTCAGCGTTTGCTGAAGTTGACTTTTTGCATCTTCTTGAATCAGAGTATCCCATTTTGCTATTCTTTCTAAGTTAATGCAAATAAATCAGAGAATCATGGAATAGTTTGGGCTGGAAAGGACCTTAAGATTGTTCAGTTCCAACCCCTGCCATGGGAAGGGACACCTCACACTAGTCCATGTCGCCCAAGGCTCTGTCCAACCTGGCCTTGAACACTGCCAGGGATGGAGCATTTACCACTTCATTGGGCACCCTGTGCCAGTGCCTCACCAGCCTCACAGGGAAGAACTTCCATATATCCAACCTGAACCTACCCTGTTTCAGTTTTAACCCATTACCCCTTGTTCTGTCCCTACAGTCCCTGATGAAATGTCCCTCTCCAGCATCCTTGTAGCCCCCTTCAGATACTGGAAGGCTGCTCTGAGGTCAAATGCAAATATGTAAAACTCTATGTTTGAGACTCAGTCCTCCCTGTAGCTTGTTGCTACCTCTGTCGGTGACACATTGTGATGGACAGAGTGTGCTGCTATCTGACCAGAGTGTCAGGCTGTCGCAGCAAGACTGGCTTGAGTGGACATTTCTCATATACTGTTTGATGTGTGGAAAACAACCCCAAAGGTCTGAGTGATCACAATAGATACCGTGGACTTCATTCAGTTTTATACTGTCCTTTGTGTCCATGAAGGGGAGCTCAGCCTGTGTATTTGACAGCAGTACTGGAGGGCAGTCCTGAGTTCCAGCTGTGCTCTGCTATCTGGCCCTGGGATGCCTTTGACTCCTGTCTGAAGTGATAAATGCTTGCATGATTTGATTTTCATCTCATAGGTTGGAACCTGCCATTAAAGGTTGCTCCCAAGAACATTTCTCTTCTGTTTTGCCTCTGCTTCACTATTCCTAATGTTTCATAGCAGTTGAAAGATGTAAAGGAATGCAGAAAGCTTTATAGTTGCTCAGTGAAAACCAGGAACAGGATGGTTTGGAATCACAAACCTTTTAACATTTGTTCTACTACAGAGCAAAAGAAGCAAATATGGAGATAAAGAGAACTTGAAATAGAGTTGAAATGTGCCAGGAACATTGGCATGCTCTCTGTGCATGTGACTGAATGAGGGGCATGCTGAAGTGGAGATGAAGTAAGTGTAGAGAAATTTCTTTTTGTAAGAAAGTACCAGAGAGAATTCTTTCCCTTACAGTAATTTGATTTATTAACAGATTTTACTCTGCTGACTTAATTTGTAACAAACAAGGGTAGATTTAATCTGGAAAGGAGCAGTGCATTTAACATTAAGTTAAATTCTAAGAAAGTTGGTGCTGTTCAGCCTGGAGAAGAGAAGCTGCGTGGAGACCTCAGAGCAGCTTCCAGTGTCTGAAGGGGGCTACAAGGATGCTGGAGAGGGACTCTTCATCAGGGACTGTAGTGATAGGACAAGGGGTGATGGGTTCAAACTGAAACAGGGGAAGTTCAGGTTGGAGATAAGGAAGAAGTTCTTTACTGTGAGGGTGCTGAGGTGCTGGCACAGGGTGCTTCAACCCTGGCAGTGTTCAAGGCCAGGTTGGACAGAGCCTTGGGTGACATGTCTGGTGTGAGGCATCCCTGCCCATGACAGGGGGTTGGAACTGGATGATCTAAAGGTTCTTTCCAACCCGAACTGTTCACTGGTTTTATGATTTCTTTGTGTTTTACCATGCTGTGTTCGGTGCTTCACTTTAAACCCCACAATTTCTTTTGTCAGGATGTATTTCCTCTTGGAACCAAATGCATTTTGCATTTGGGAAGCTCTCTTCATTTCGCATATATGCTAAGATCCAAAGTTGGCAGGACAAGAAGGGGATTTCTAAATAACTGTACAAATGAATTTCTTGTTCATACTGGTGCTGAGTTGCACTTCTCAGCAAATTCTTTGAGATACAGCCCACTGTTCTCAGCCCTTATTTCTGGTGCTTTTGGGCTCAAAGGGAATGCTGTCAATGAACTCATCAGGAACTGGATTTGATTTGTAAGCTTTAGGTTACTATGAGGAAGAATCTTAAGTTGGCTTGTTGCATCTCATGAAGTAAGTGGAACAAATCATCAGGCTGTCATTACCTTGAAGGATAAGCCATTGGGGTTTGATTTTCTCTATCATAGAACAGAATCAACCAGGTTGGAAAAGCCCTTTAAGCTCACCCAGTCCAACCGATCCCCAGCACTGCCAAGGCCACCACTGCCCCGTGGCACTGAGGCCTCGTCTCCACGGGGTGTGAACACTTGCAGGGCCAGTGACTGCAGCCCTGCCCTGGGCAGCCTGTTCCAATGCCTGAGCACCCTCTGGGGCAGGAATTGTTCCTCAGCTCCATCTAAACCTGCCCTGGTGCAGCTTGAGGCCGTTTCCTCTTGTCCCATCCCTTGTTCCTTGGGAGCAGAGCCCAGCCCCTCCTGGCTCCATCCTCCTCTCAGGCACTTGTAGGGAGTGATCAGGTCCCCCCTGAGCCTGCTCTGCTCCACACTGAACCCCCCCAGGTCCTCAGCTGTTCCTCATAAGACTTACTCTTCAGACCCTATGATGCTGTGGTATTGTATCAGGTTCTACCATATGTCATTTTCTTGTGTCCTGGGAAGCCATGAAAACCAAATAGTTGGTGTTATAAAAGAGTCTTGATTTTAAGAAAAAAGCTACTTATATATGTGTATATATATATACATGTCAGTGTGTGTGTCTACATATATAAAAGAGAAGGGGTGTAACTTCTTTAAACCTAAGAAGGCAAGAAAAAGCAGTCACTGAAGTACTTTATTAGATGCTTTACTTGGACGCTTTACTTGGTCACTTTACTTACTTAAATCTGGAAGAATCGTGTTGGTTTGTATTTCTTTGGCCTGTTTAATAGGGCTCAGTCATTTAAGCTGTGCCAAAGGGGAGGGAAAAAAAGGATGCAGAACATTCTCTACATTAGACATAGTCATAAACAACTTACTCCATGTCTAGTGAAACCCCCTGTATCTGTGAAAATAGTTATTAGGAGCCCTTCAGTCAGAGGTAATGCCCTTATTCTTACCTAATAACTGTAGAGAAGGTGCTTAGGCCACGTCCATGTTAGTAAATCAGATGTGCTTGGGAGCACTCCTGAGTGCTGGAGCCAAGCAGCGTGGAACAGCCTCTGTGTGTCTGTTCATCTTAGCCTCCAAAGCGAGGTGACTGCATACAAATTCTCTGCTGGGCACAGCCCTGGAGCTTTCTGGCTGCTGTGACGTGCCTGGGAGCTTCTCAGGGGAACTTGGCACAGATTCACACCACCAACTGCTCTGACAAGTCACAAGCACAGAGGGTTGAGTTACAGTGTCTGGGAACAGTCTTAGCCGTGCTCCACATTCCTTGTAACCAGGTCTTTCCCATCTCTTATGCTGTGGAGGGAAACCATTACAAACTATCATCATTCCCTAAGAACTGTTCATTTAATTCTGCTTTTTCATCTTGTTTCATTCTTTGACTGTCTATGATGCAGTGTGGTGGTGGTGATCTTCAGTTCAGTCACTGTAAGTCATAGATGGGATTCAGCTCTGGATTCATACACCTAAATGCTTATCTCTACAGAGGGGTCCATCTGCCATTGCAGTCAGTAAAGCCTAGAGAATCATTTGGCTCATCCTGAAATATCCCCATGTATTTGACTTACTCTTTATAATGCCAGTTCATGTATAGATGCCTAAATAAATGTGTTAGCATCTGGAGCATCCTTCCTTTGGAATGTTTTCATACAGTACCTTTACAGTTTAAATTCAAACCACGTCTCTGAAATCCTCATAAGTAGTATTTTTTCTATAAAGGCTTTAGGCCTATGATAAGGATCTTGAATTTGATGGATCAAAGTTCATCTGAAATGACCTGTCTCTGCTTATGTGATATGTCTTCCTAAAACTATTGAAAAATCCATAGGGGATATCTGTGTCCTTGTGAGGTTCAAATCCAGAGAGTTTCTGTGGTTCATATATGGAGCTGGATCTCATGTGTAATGTCAGATTTTTCCTAGCATGGATATTGCCTTCCAGTCTTTGATGGTGTTGCACAGCCATATAGCTATGTATGAAGTACAGTTTGCAGATGCATTGCTTTTATGTCATCACTAACACATCAACTGATAGTAACTACACATTGTATTTGCTGCAGGGCAAAAAGAACCATGTTAGTCCACATACAGCAGCTAACCTGACTTTGTGTTTCCAGTCTTTTAAAGTGCTATTCTGATCTCATAATACTGTGACTTAATGTGTATTCTGTGCTTAATACATAAGTTATATGTATCCCCCTTAACTTGAGAGGTTGGTTGATGTTAAGATGCTGAGTGACTTGTAGTACCTATGCAAAGTGAGTTACAGTACTTAGAAAGGAAATGGTATTGCTTCAGTTGGTGTTAAAGCTTCCCAACTGATTCACAGCTTTCAGTGACTGAAGCTCCTTTGCAAAAGGAAACACCTAAAATGTAAGCTTTAAGCCCTGCTGGGCTGTTGATGGCTATATGGGAAAGCTCCTTCTATTGAAACTTGGTGTAATTGCAGTGGTGGTGGTCACTAGCATTTTGGAAAGTACAAAGCTGGTAGAACATCTCATTGCAATGATGGGTTTTGTGATGTAAATACTGATAGAATCATAGAAACCCAGACTGGTTTGGGTTGAAGAGACCTTAAAGCTCATCCAGTTTCAACCCCTTGCCACGGGTAGGGACACCTTCCACTGGAGTCGGTTGCTCCAAGCCCCCTCCAACCTGTCCTTGAACACTTCCAAGGATGGGGCAGCTACAGCTTCTCTAGTATTCCTTAGAAATGCCTTGACCCTGAAATTATGTGATGAGAAGTATATCTAAAGGTAGCTGCATCCCTGTAGAACTGGAGGTAGAAGTTATATGTGAAGACATTTGAGCTCAAGTATTAAACTGTTAATTTACAGGAGACAAATACATGTCAAACCCTTTCTAAATTCACAAGTTAAAATACATGACAAAAGGGTAGTGTGCTGTGGGTATAGCAGAGGAAATAAAGATTTCTTTGTGATCCTTGGCATGTGATGGGTGTTTCTTCTTTCTGCATTGCAATGTTCTCAGCACTGAACCATGGTGCGTTAAGCCATGAGACAGCAACTCTGATGAGCACAGCTCTCGGCCCAGTGAGTGCAGTATTAGGTATCAGCTCCCTTCTGCTGAAGTTTACCAGTTATATAGTGATGTTAGTGAAGCAGAATATGTCATATGCTTCAGCTGCTACACTTCATCTCTTAATGCAGTCTTTTCTTCCTCCTTTTGGAAGAGGTTCACAAAGCTTTTTGCGCAGTTCTCTGTTAAGATATAACATCTTCCAATGAGAAACATGGTTCTTAGCTCATTCAGTGTCTACTGTAAAATGTTTATAAGTTGTGCCTTTGCAGTAAGCAGGTATAAATGAGATATGTAAAGAATCATGTTTAGTCCCTTAGTCTTCATTTAAACCATTTCTTCAAAGAGATGCTATTGTGCATAGTTACCACAGTAGTGTTTGAGGAGGTGGTGTCTGAGAGGGAAAGTGTCATCTAATGAATAATCATTAGAGTCACAGAATGGTTTGTGTGGGAAGGGACCTTAAAGCTGATCCAGTTCCAATCCTCTGGCGTGGGCAGGGACACCTTCCACTAGGGTAGTTTATGTTCTGGTGGACAGCCATGCTTATTTTTTCCAGAGAATTAAAGACATTAGTGTATTTGGCAATACATGTGTAAGTGTCACTGTATCAGTGAGGTTACATGCTTAGGTATTTCGTTTCATTGACTACATGTAATAATCACAATTCTAGTCTGATTGCATCCAAAGATGTCTAATGGACTGCCTTGGGAATCCTTTGTAGAACGCAGAGCTGTTAGAGTGAGTTATAGAATCCCAGACTGGTTTGGGTTGGATAAGCTCTAGCTCATCCAGTTCCAACCATCTGCCACGGGCAGGGACACCTTCCACTAGAGCAGGTTGCTCCAAGCCCCATCCACCCTCACCTTAAGCTTCCAGGGAGGTGTTCAGTAAGTCTATTAAGGCATCAGTGAGATCTCACTGCCTTGTGTAGACAGAGTTCAGGTCCTGCAGCACAGCAGCACTACCCAGTGATCGAGGCTTGAGTGCAAATGATTCGGCTTTCTCTGAAAGCAGTCTGAGGTAAAACATAATTTCTCGAAGGGAGACAAGACATCATATTAATGGACTTGTTCTTGCAAAATAAAAATGAGCTGGTGCTTAATGAGAGTGTTTCACTGATAACATTTCCAAGTGATGAATGATACATTAACCGCTCGACCAGCTTTGCTCTGAACAGTGAAATAACTTCCAAGAAACATTGTCCTTGTCTGACTGAAAAAGCTGTGTATAGGCAAAGTGTATATCTCATAAATTAACTTCAGAGTTTAAAAATCAACTATTTCAAGTCAATGAAAATCATTACACAGAAGGCAGCTTGGGAATGGTGATCTCATTTCATGCAATGAATCCCTGCTGTGTGGGCTTTATCTGTTTACCCTGACCTTCTAGTTCTGAGTTCCAGCAGCAACTAATTTCTGCTTCTAGAGCTGATGACAAGCTCCTTGTAAAATATACCTTTTCAATCTGGACAATAACCAGAAATATCACAGGCCTTCAGCAGTATTGGCAGTTGAGCGATGCTTTGCCTTATAGAAGGATTAAGACAGATAAATCTTAATGTACTTGAAAGAGAAATGGAATAGTGATGTCCCATTCATTCTGGGTTCCCTCTGCTTCTGTCCTCCTTGAGATTCATAGGGGACAGTATTGAGAACCCCATAAATTCAAGCACATCACTGGTTACTAAAATGTAAAGTAGAAGGCTGGAGAGACTGGGGGGTTGTCCCTGAAATGGGATGCTGATGTTCTAATGTGTTTTGTTTTTTTTTTTTCCCCAGTAAAGTTTATGCATTGAAATTAATGTACTGCAAAGATTTCCTTATAGACTTTTATGTTAACCATAGCTTTGATTTGTTTTCAGCTGTGGGATTGGGATCTTGGTGCTTCCACATGACCCTGAAGTACGAAATGCAGGTGAGTATTCATAAATAGATGAGAATCGCTTTATGTATGTATCTATGTATAAAGTCATATTATTGTCTAAATGAAACTCATACAGCAAGAGTTAATCTACCTTAAGTATCATTGTACATGACTCCTGCTCTCAATGGGAGTAGCACAGGTCTTGTTCTCCATCAATAGGTATACAGACGTATAAACCCTAAAATAGGAGCTATAAGCAATTACGTTGGTAGAAGACACTTCAACCTTTGGGAAGTTCACACAACTGTGGGTTAATAAGATTAGAGTTATTACTATTTATTGTATCCCTTTTTTTCATCTTAATGTTTTCTGTGTTCTACTAATCTAAATGTACCTGTAACATTAATAGTGAAGTCAGTATCTTCTGAGTAGCAACAGCTGAGTCTTCCTCTCTTTCTTATTCTCAAGTACAAGCCATTCTAAAGGGACACAAGGAGGCTGGTCCTGTTTTAGATGTGAGACGATAAGGGAAACTGATCTTTGAATCAAGTTCAAAACTAAGAAGCCTATGTTCAGAAGTGTGTGCTGGCAGTCTGTACTTCCCCCATAGTAAATGGAAATCCTAGAATGCTTTGGGTTTGAAGGGACGTTAAAGCTCATCCAGTCCCAACTCCCTGCCACAGGCAGGGACCCCTTCCACTAGAGCAGCTTGCTCCAAGCCCCTGTGTCCAACCTGGCCTTGAACACTGCCAGGGATGGGGCAGCCACAGCTTCTCTGGGCACCCTGTGCCAGCGCCTCAGCACCCTCACAGGGAAGAGCTTCTGCCTAAGAGCTCATCTGAACTCTCAAAACCCTGTCTCTGAATTAACACAATGTGAGAAGGTTCCAAAGTCAGGAACGTGCAAGCACATCACACTTCCCTAAGGGCCTAAAGTTCTATTTTATCATATGGGAAAAATGCATTTCAGTTTCTCTGTGGAGTTTGTCCAGAAGCAAGAAGATGCTGCTGCTTGTATTGAGCAGTTTTATCTAGGCTGACTTCCCAAAACTAATTCTTACCAGTGTTTTAGGAGGTATGAACAGTACAAATGGCATGATCTTTTGAAGGGTGGGCTTTTTATGAGACATCATATACTAAAGATTTAGTGTAATAAGCTTATTAATGCAGGATCTTTCAGTTGGATGGGATTTGAAGTACAGTCAGGAAGGTGGATATAGAATCATAGAATGGTTTGGGTTTCAAAGGACCTTAAGATCATCCAGTTCCAACCCCTTGCCATGGGCAGGGACCCCTCACACTAAACCATGGCACCTAAGGCTCTGTCTAACCTGGCCTTGAACACTGCCAGGGATGGGGCAGCCACAGCTTCTCTGGGCACCCTGTGCCAGTGCCTCAGCACCCTCACAGGGTAGAACTTCTTCCTCATATTCAATCTAAACTTCCCCTGTTTCAGTTTGAACCCATCACCCCTTGTCCTATCACTACAGTCCCTGATGTAGAGTCCCTCTCCAAATGACTTATAAACTCCTGTTTTCTTAAGACTTCTCTCTCCTTAATGAATTTACTGTGAGTTAAAAGTACTTTTCATGTTTTGATGTCTCTGCTTTTTATAGCTGTTGGATGAGCTGCCAATGATATACAGTTGTTGTGTGTTTGTCTACTGCCTGTAAGTACTTGTTATTTCTTTCTGAATATTTATAAACTAGTAACCATTTTGTATCTGTGAAGCCCAGTCTGGTGTCTAGTGAGGCTGACACCGAAGCTTCTACTGCTTTCAGTGAGATCTCTGTTTTGCAGCGTTACGATTTGGCCATTAGAGCACCAGGCTGGCTTCAGTCCTAGTTCTTGCTTATTTAGTGATGTTTCACCAGTGTTTGTTTAATAGGAAAAAGACATACTTCTTAGAGACTTTCTGTAGTGTACAACCAGAGCTCAGCCTTACTTGGTATGTGAGCAGCAGCCCTAATAAAACAGTTTCAGTAACACCTCCAAAATGAATGGATTTGAGCTGTATTTCTGTGCTGTAGTCTGACTCCAAATGCGAATCTCAGATTTCTGGTTAAACCTGCTCTCCACTCATGTGGAAAATTAAAGAAGAAAGAGTTTTATGAGGAGCTGAGTGCATATTTTGGGCAGAGTGTCTTGGAACATGCATGACAGCTTAATGCCATGCCAAGACGTTTTCTCCCGTTTCATTTTGGGAGCAATGTAGCGTTTGGCAACTGCAAAGATACCGTAAGTTGGCTTTTTCCTGCCTGTTGCTGCAAGGCCTGGATTTAACATCATTTGTTCTGTCACTCGGAAAATCCAAACCATAAATCAAGTTGTTGCAGACAAAAAGACAGGAAAAGAAATTGTCTTTTTTGCTTTTGAACATAGCAAATATTCAGCCATTGAAAACTGGGGCATCTCTGGGAGCTTGCGGTGGTGATGGGATGCTGTAGGATTAAACCCACATCTGTGGAACTCCCCATCAGTTTGTGATTCATACATTAGTATGGTTTGTGCAAAGTCTGGATCAGAATTGTAATGCCTCTGTTAGTGGAAATACTTCCACTGTAGCTCCCTGTTGCCTTGAAATTGCCTTTGCATTTATTTTGTCTGGTTTGAATGTGTCTGGGGAAAAGGACGAAAAGTGGCTATAAAGATCTGTTAGAATACGAAAATCATGCTTATTTTGTGCAATGGTTACTCTGTTATCTTCAAAAGCGCTGAAGTCTGTTACTGCATTCATGGCTTTAATAAGATTCTGTGTACATATGTCTGATCGTAATTAGAGTGTTGTGAAAATGAGCTAATGTTTAGTTGAAGAGGTCTTTAATAATCATTTTGTTTTCTTTGAAGGTAGTTCTGCACAGGACATTCCCTTGTACATAGAATCCCAGACTGGTTTGGGTTGGAAGGGACCTTAAAGCTCATCCAGCTCCAACCCCTGCCACAGGCAGGGACCCCTTCCACTAGAGCAGCTTGCTCCAAGCTCCTGTGTCCAACCTGCCCTTGAACACTGCCAGGGATGGGGCAGCCACAGCTTCTCTGGGCACCCTGTGCCAGCGCCTCAGCACCCTCACAGGGAAGAGCTTCTGCCTAAGAGCTCAGCCCAGTCTCCCCTCTGGCAGGTTAAAGCCATTCCCCTTGGCCTGTCCCTACAGGCCCTTGTCTAAAGTCCCTTTCCAGCTTTCCTGTAGCCCCTTTAGATATTGGAAGACTGCTATAAGGTTCTCCTGCCTCTCAAGCTGTCTCATTACTTTGCAGAGCCATTCTGCAATGTAGCACGTTGTGCTCTTACAATTTTTTTCCCCCCAGATATTCCTAATAGTTTTTTGTTTCCTTTTATTCATCTATGACGGTGTCTAAAACATAGAAGTTTATAAAGAAACAAACTGGCTAGATGTAGCTTGGAGGGACACAGACACCGCCCCTAGCCCTAGTGCTCCTGTGCTTCTCACAGGTAATTTTTGTTGTGTTTTTCTGATGGAGATGCAGTCCGTGTGTGTTATTCCATCACAGCTGTGACTGAACCATAGTGTAAAGACTGTAAAGCTAATTTCAATGAGTTGTTTTACATGCTGGCAGCAATTAGCTGCTTCTACCTTTCACTTCTACCACTACCCAGTCTGACAAATTTACTGCACTGTGACTGTGTAAAGCCATAAACAATCTGCATTTGAACAGACCTCTGGAGTTCAGTGTTTTGTAAGGCAGCCCCTTTCCCACACTGCCTTTAGCTCACAGATGTAATGGGTTTTGGCAGCTGTATTGCATTTGAATGTCATTTCTAATTTGCCATCCATTATCACCCCTTAAGTGCCTTCTGAAAGTGCTTCTGATTCCCAAACTCTTCCCACTGACTCTATATGCATGAGCTTAGTGGGGCTTTTGCATTAGATTTGTTTAAAAAGACACATTTATTGGTAAAATTACGGATTTTTATTATAAAATGACACATCTTTATTGGAGGAGATACGGTTTCTTAAAGTGCCTAAGACTCATTTGGATCAATTTGCTCACAAAGTTTGTGAACATACCTTGAAAAAATGCATCCTTTATATGATAAGAGATGAATGTTATCACTCTTCTTTATATTCTCTTCCAGGTATGAATGTTTCAAGTACAAGAACACAGTCAATTATCCACTGCTTTTCTTGTTAATAACATACAGCTTCGTAGTCAGCATAGTAAGTATTTTCTAATACGGCATTTCCACCTGTAGTTTGACAGTTTTCCTGCCACTGAAGGAATGTTATAGAGGCAGCACTGGATCTCTGCTCACTTCCAGTCAAGAAGGACAAATCATTCTTTGGCTGGGAAAATTGTGCTGGTCAGAGAACTGTAGAATCCCAGAGTGCTTTGGGTTGGAAGGGACCTTAAATCTCATCCAGTTCCAGTCCCCTGCCACAGGCAGGGACCCCTTCCACTAGAGCAGCTTGCTCCAAGCCCCTGTGTCCAACCTGGCCTTAAACACTGCCAGGGATGGGGCAGCCACAGCTTCTCTGGGCACCCTGTGCCAGCGCCTCAGCACCCTCACAGGGAAGAACTTCTGCCTAAGAGCTCATCTCAACCTCCCCTGTTCTGGCAGGTTCAAGCCATTCCCTTTGTCCTGGCCCTACAGGCCCTTGTCCAAAGCCCCTGTCTAGGTTTCTTGTAGCCCCTTTAAACACTGGAGCTGCTCTCAGGTCTCCCCTTCAGGAGCCTTCTCTTCTCCAGGCTGACCCAGCCCAGCTCTCTCAGCCTGGCTCCAGAACAGAGAGAGAAACGTGAAACCTTTCTGTCCAAACCCTGTATAGAATAAATGAAAAAGGAAAGCAGTAATCCCGTTGCTAGAATAAGAATGTAAGAAAAGCAGTCACTGCTGGCGTGTGGTACCTCGGACAAGCTGCATTCCTCATCTTCCCTGTCTTTAATTCATTTACAGAAATGAGAGTAATTCTGTTCAACAGACTGCAAAAGGTGATACACAGTCCAGGCTATTGAGTGGTGGTTTAAAACAGCAGCCAGAATAAGAAAGGAGCAGAGGTGTTAAATAGAATAATTCAAACTGTCGTGACTTGATTCCCTTTCCCAGTGCTGTGTGTTCCCTTTATGACTAAAATGAGTTTATTGCTGCCTGTCAACTGCAGATGGAATTCCCTTTGTTATCTGTATTGATAGCCAATTTTTTTTAAATAAGAGGTATTATAATAGGTCATTTCTGCCATCAAAATACTGTTCTCTGCCTCCTAAGATGTTTTACACTTACGGTATGTTATGCTGAAGGTCCAGTGCCCTTCTCTCTTCCAAAGCAGGAATGAAATGTACTGCATAAACAATAGGAAAAGCTATTTTGTAAAATGAATTGATGAAATTCTAAAGCATTGTCAAAACCCATGAAGAATAGCAATTCAAACTAGAGTACATTTGCTTCTTGCAGTGCATACTGAGGCTGGTAATTCCTGCATCTTAGTTGTTTTTCTGTGTGTTGCAACTCTTATTAAATGAGTTGATTCTAGATGTTAATGTCTCTGTTTGTGCTCTTTAATTTAAAATCATTCCACAATTAAACCCTCAGGTTTTGCCAGAGGAAACTATGTTTAAGCAACTTTTATAGCGCATGTATAGGCGCTTGTGTCTTGATTCCAGCAGAACAAGTCTTGGCAGTATTTAGATTAATGTTATGCTGTTCTCTGTTGTAAATCACTTCTCTTTTTAATCTTTCCAGGTTTACTTGAATTTGAAAGAGCCTGTATTCCATCAGGTAAATCTTGCTCTGCTAGAGGACCTAACCTGTGTTTTAAACTGTGTTTTATTGGGGTATTTTACATGAATTTGTACCTGAAGATGGAAGGCAAACACAATTTGCCTTTTACTGCTTCCTGTCATGTTGCCATCCCTTCCCTTGGTGACCTGTAAAACTGGAATGGTTTAATGTGTGTTGTGATTTAGCATTTGACCTAATATTCCATGTGGGTTTCATCAGTGGCAAGTGCAATGAGGTGACCCTCACTATGGGCAATGGTGCGTGTAAGAGGGAGGGTTTGATGAATCCTTGTCCACTGCTTTCCATTAGCAGCTGCTGGGAAGCTATGACCTGACTTCCTAACATGGTTTGGGTGACAGCACCATGTTCTTTTCTCCATTTTAACATAGTAGTTTGGGGTCTTTTTAACTACTCCATTTCATGTCGTGTAAATTCAAGCTGAATTTAAACACAGAATGTCTTCTAGGGTTGTGGAGCAGACTGGTTGTTATGGTCTTGATTGCTTAATGGCGTATTTGGTGCCAGTTCCTTTTACAGCAGCCCAAGAGTATTAATATGCATTCAGTGCTTGTGGAGATAGGACTTGTATGACTTGCCTCTTCACAGGAGGTTAGAAATCACACTCACTTATGCGTGCCATGAGCAGTTTTCCCTCATTTATGACGTTTTGATTAGGGATAACAGCTGAAAAACTACCAAGCAAAAGCCCTGAGCTCTTTGCAGGACAGAGCTTTAAAGCCTTAATGTCTGAAATCAGTAGTGCAATCGCTTGTCAAAGCATACCTGCTGCATCAGCAGCTGTAAAACTGATACGTGGCTCCTGTTGGTGGATTAGTGAAGCACGGAGGAATAAAATGAATCCTCTGATAATAAATTCCAAGCTGCTCCAAAAAAATCTCTTCTAGAGACGTGAATTGTTACTGTACCTATAGATAAAAAGAGAAACTCACAGGGTTTTTTGCTAATGTTAATTAAATCCTTTCTGTTCTTTCCCTATACTTATATTTCCAACAGGAAGATACAGGCTGGGGTGAAAGCAGCAATCACTGATGCTTTTACTAAGCTGGTTATAACTGGTTTTGAATGAAGTGACTTAATTTTGTTAAGTACAGTGGCAGAGTTTATTGCTGATACTGGACTTTCATTTATCAGTTATCTACTCAGTCTGTGTTTATGGCAATAAATACATCACAGCTTCACTGCATTGATGCATTGGCAAAGCTATTGTCCCACATCATAGATTCAGGGGTGATAGATCATGGAATGGTTTGGGTTGGAAAGGACCTTAAGATTATCCAGTTCCAGCCCCCTGCCATGGGCAGGGACGCCTTCCACTAGACCAGGTTGCTCCAAGCCCTGTCCAGTCTGGCCTTCTGACTTGTGGGGTAAGAGGGAAATAGGGGAAGCTTTAAACTGCTGCTCCAGACCTTTATTTTTTTGCATCTGGTTTCTCTTAGTTTCAGCGTATGAATTCCCTGTTATAATTTATACATGAGGAATCAACGTAGAAAAGATTTAGACCCATAAAAGTGCTGGACTTTTTACAACAACTCTTTCCAAATTGATTTTTATGGAGAACATGCAGTTGTGGCCCCATTCCAGACATTCAAGTACTGCACTCGTGGTTTTTTTTTCACACTCTTTGCCAAATACATCATAAATCCAGAGGAAACATTTCTCTGCACAGCTAAGCAAGGTTCTTTTCTTCATACTTACCCTTTATTTGAGAGTGCATTAAAAAAGAGAATCAATGTAATTTCACTAAGTATTTCCCAGCTGATTGTATCTCATGGACTTGAAGTAAAGTTAAATATGCTCGTGCAGTTATAGTTTAAATCACAGTCTTGGTCCCTAACTGTATTGGAAAGCAGAGGTTGATTCCTTTAGGTACTTGTCTGTGATCATCACCATTTGTCAGCCTCGCAGAAAGGGGAGTAACTACATGGACAGCTTTATATTGTTTGTTGTTTCAGTGTGGGGTGGTTTTTTCCCCCAGAAAGGAGAGCAATAAGAATGGAAAAGGATTCTGTTATATTTAACAGCCAGGTTCCAAGCCTTATTTCTCAGTGAATTACTTTCTACTTTCCTTCCCAATTTAGGCTCATAAATTGCTTAATGCCAGCAGGCATGAAGGGGAGTTGGTTTGTTATTCATGGCACAGTGGCAACACACACCAGCTTCTTTGCCTCCATCCACGTATTGCAGATCTTTAAGGGCCTTAATGCTTTAACCATAGGAGGGGTGAGATGCATAATTTGGTCTGTTGGAGGCTACACATCATTAGAAGGGGAAAAAAAAAGAACATTTCTCTGCCTGACAACTGATGTGGTATTTTTTACCACCTCATCAGTTAAATGAAAGATAGCAGTGGCCTTTACAAGCATGTATTGTCTTGTTTATGTCAAAATCTCTAGGCTAGAGCACTGTTATTACCTAATTTCCATGGTGCTAAACAACCCTACATCCCAGTTCTCTAGTTGTATTTAAGCCAGCATCATTGTCAAAGAAAGCAGCTACGCCTCTCCCTTCCCTCCTTCCCATCTGGCACACAGATTTACTTTCTGAGGGGAATTTGATTTGGGAACTCAGCAGGTTCAAACTCTCCTCAGAATTAGTTGTAAATCAGATTAGTTTCTCATCCCTGTTTACTGCATGTGTATTTGTGCTGATACAAGGAAAGGGGTGGGGGAAGAATGGCTGCTGGTGTGGAATGATCCATAGACACACAGATCGTAGAATCAACTGGGGTGGAAAAGACCTTTAAGATCATCAAGTTCGACTTTTACCCCAGCACTGCCAAGGCCACCACTGAACCATGTCACTGAGGGCCTCATCTGTACAGTTTGTGAACGCTTAAGTATCAGATTGCCCTGGAAGAAGAAGAAATTACCGTGGCAATTAAACTTTTAGACTCCAGTCTTACAAGTAGCCTTCTTTCTAACATGATATGGCCTAGAAAGCTGTCACTTGCAAAGCATTGGTTTCCGTCCTGATTTGTTTAGTGGCTGCATACCGTATGCTGGCTCTACACTTGCAGAGATCAAAAACCTCATTCATTTGGCTATGTGAATAATGTAACAGATCTAAAAGCCTGTTTTATTTGCATAGTCATCTGCTGCAAGAGTTTGAAGCAGTTCTTGAGCCAAGAGATAATTAAAAGGTAACTAGAACATGAGATTAAATAGTTGTTTCTTCTACATTAGATGTGATTTAAAAGATGCCTTTTGTGTAGCCATTTTAGAAGTGGTGTCCCATGAGAAACTTCAGTGAGCTGAAGAAGTAGATCAGGATGAGAATTGCAAATAGGGGAAGGGAGTGACTAGTGGAAGATGGCTAAAGGAGATAGAATCACAGAATAATTAGGGTTGGAAAGGATCTTATCATCCAGTTCCAACCCCCCTGCCATGGGCAGGGACACCTCACACTGAACCATGTCACCCAAGGCTTTGTCCAACCTGGCCTTGAACACTGCCATGAAAGGCAGTGATGATGAAAGGCAGGCTCAGTCTGACTGTCTTGGGATCACTAGTGGGACTGTTTGTATTTAACAACCCATACCAGGAAAAACCAAATCAGGTACTGATGATATTTGTGATGATACCAAGTTCAAAGGCATCACTGAGTACGGAGGAGGAGATGAAGAAATAACTGGAAGACCCTGAGGACCAGGATGACAGAATGGAAGAGTGTGCACTGATGAGCAAACACCAGCTATTCTTGTTCTAAACTGCACACAGATCCCCAAAGGAGGGAGGAAGGCAGTCTCTGGGTTTGCTGATCACAGTATAATAATATGACCAGTGAATTTTCTGCTAGAAAGTAAAATACAAGTATTGGATTTAGCAGTTTTATGTGACTTGAGGGGAGCAAAAGGTATTTCATTTGCCTCAGTACAAAAATTAATAGAGTTGTTCTCCTTAGGTGTTTCAAATGTCCAAATGCAAAGAAGGAAGTCAAATCACAACGCAATGTGTATGTCACAATAGGTACAGGAGCCTGAAACTGCATGAAGAATATGTTATGTCAAGGCACAACTTGTTCAGATTCACAGGACTCCCCATTTTGGGGAATCTGTGTGGACTCGGTGTCCTGCAGCTCTTCAGAGTCCCTCCTGCTGCTAAGACACCAGTGAGCTGTAGGCTTGTGGTGTAATGTATTTTGCCTTTTAGTGGGACATGTTCATTCTTACTACATGTTCAGGTTGCCAAGCAGTCTGTTAAAAGTGACCTTCTCAGGGCATGTCTTCACCACAGAGGTTTTTGTGCTTAGGCATTGTCCTGCTGAAGACCATGTATAAAACCAGTTTGAGTGATATTGTGTTACACAGCTTGTTTGGGGGTGTCTTTCAGTGCAGCTGTCATTCTGGCTAGTGCTTCTATTTGCACAATAGCTTAGGGAATGTGGAAGGATGTTCAGACTCTCCAAAGGATCAGCTCTACAAGGCAGTGAAGAGTAGCTCAGTTTATCCCTGCAGACTGTCCCAGAAGCTCGGGTGAGCTGCTCTGTATGATGCAGTGTGTTGCTTTGCCATCATATACATGCATCTAAGGAGGACCAACTAAAGTGGATGTGAATTAGTTCATTCAGGAGCTGTCAAAGCAATGTGTGGTACTAAACAGCTGCAGCTATGCTGAGTGTTTCAGTGTCATCATGGGGATTGTCATTCCTTCTCTCAGAAGTCTAAGAACATGTAGAAATCTGTTTTCTTCGTTATAACTTGCAAATACTGTTTCCACCTCCAAGTCCTTAGGCTGACTGTATTTTGATAGCTGGTTGGTATATTAATAGATAAGCAGTGCTTGCCAAGAACCCAAAATCTCTCAGTGCGGTTCCCAGTGTGTACACTAATATTCGAGGCTGATAAATGGACTTTATTAACCAAAGATGGGCAGAAGGCCAGGAACAGAGGAAGCAAAGAAGTGGAAATAACAGCTTATTGCAGCTTTCTGTACTAGAAGGGTAGATGAAGAGCCAGTTTTATATGCTCACTCCAGTCTGGAGTACCAGCCTTGCCTCCAGCTGGTACAAGAAGTGAATCTATGCGATTTGTTTAACTGCCTCCACATCAAAAACGTTGTCAGACACTGAGTCCTGAAATGCTTCTTTCCCATTTGTGAATTACCAGGATGTTCTTCATATTTGGCCCTTTTAGCAGGTAAATCCATTGTGTATTAATGTTTTTTCCCTGTTGCAAAGATACAGGCTTCAAAGCTGAAACACAAGCAGCCGTATTTGCATCTTAAACAGCAAAGAGGGAACTGTCTAGTGATAACAAAAGATGATGAGATTCTGCTGTTTCCTTTTGTTTCAGTTGTAGTGTAAGGGTGTTCTTTTGGCTTACAGGTTAAAGGCACTGTGAGACAAAATAGCACAAAACTCTGGGTTTTCATCTGTCACTTAAGTGATGTGTTAGTTAAAGAAGAAGAACAAAGGGAGGTAAAGGAATTGAAAAATCAGAGTCAACCTGAATAAGGTAGAATCTTCATTTTATACTTAAATGGGGTGGATGGAGAATATCTTACAAACTTCTGGCATGATGAAAATAGTGAATCCACGGGTGGTAAAGGAGTAAAAAAGAAGCACTGTTCCCTGAAGTCTAAACTAAGTTGTGTAGCTCTTGGTTTACAGGCGCAGCTCCAGCCTCTGCTTATCACAGCAACACCACCTGGGTGCTCGTTGCCTTCAGCATGAAGAGGAGGGTTGAAGCCTGCGGAGCGGAATGCTTTGTTGTTCCAGTCTTTCACAGGCTTTTAACCACGACTGTGTTTTACTGTTAACAACCTGTTTGTGTGGGGGAGCGGAAAAGGCAAGAAATGGCAGTGTCAGCTGTGGGCATATTTTAATTCAGCCACTCCAGGGTTCTTTTTTACGTTGTTCCCTTCCTCCCTCCATGAAGACTGTCTTCTTCTGCAGGCCATTAAGCAGCTCACTAGGAGATACCAAGCCACAGGCATCACAAAGAAAGCTTTTCTTAGCTATTGCTCTGATAACTGCAGAAATACAGCATTTTTAGGCTGCGTTTCAGGCCTGTAAGTCCTGTTTCTCTAGGCATAGTTTGACACTAACTCCTTTTACAAAGAACCTGAGAGTAAATTGGATAAAAGCCCAAGGGTGGTCAGACCCCTGATGAGTAGGAGAGAAATTTCTCTTCACGGGTAGGTTTTTCCTCTCCTTTTTGCTGCAGGAGAGCATTTTAGCAATGGAAGCTGGAAGAAGGAGGAGATGAGCAAGGAAATGGCATCAAACTGTGATTTGAGTTCTGGAGGAGCCTTTCTATTGAGTTTCTTCCTCTGTGTGACCCCTCTCTTAGAATAAGTGACTGGTTTTGATTAGGAAAATGAAATAGGCTGTTTCAAATGAGCCTGAGGAAGTAAATAGCATTGAACTGTTAAGTTTAGTCTGTATTTGTTATATGGTAGGGTCTTTTGAGGCATAATGATGAAGAATGACAACCTAGCCCACCTGAGCAGTCCCCTGCCTACTTGGGACTGATGAGCACTTGGTACTCAGGCTGTGCATTGCAGGTTTTGTTTGGGTTTGTCCTGATTTATGTGCTGCACCCCAGCAAGAGGACTGGCATTAGCCACCAGTTTTGTTTAAAGTACAAGACCGATTTGCCTTTCAAATAGTTGAGCTTTGTTTAGCTCTACAGAGCAGAACACACAGCAGTAGTAGTTTAGTTACTGAAATGATATGATTTCACTCTCAATGTGCTGACTTTTTTCATAGTCAGTATTGGGGCTAATTTTTACCTGTTGTCAAACACAAGGGCTCTGTTTTCTGTCTTGTTCTGGATATATGGACTGATAATACAGTGTGTGCTATGAACCTCATCCTTAAAGCTAAAAGGAAGTTGAAAATTTGCCTTTATGGGCTTTTGAAAAGTAGGTTTCACTTTGTATTATTCCAGCTATCTATTTTATATTAGATGAGTGGACACACATGTGCTTGCAGGGTAGTAATAGGTGAATGCCCTGGTTACAGCAGAGTAAGGTAGTCATTGGGTTGAAGACACTGTAGTCTAAGGGAAGAGGAAGTACAAGAGGTCAATATAACAAGGTAAGGACACTGGTTTGTAAACACCACTCTGAGGTTTAGTTGCTTTTAAAAACAGGCAGCAAATAGTACTTTTATGTTTCATATAAAACAAAGCAGCATTTGATAGGAGTTAACTAAAAGCAAAGTGAGACAAGGAAGTCAGGGAACAAGGAAGCGAAGAACAGTGATCAGCCTACTGGAGAGAGGCAAAGAGCAGGGCACAACTGCTTGGAACAAGCTGGATTTGGCAGGGGGAAAACAGTGTCCGGGGTACAAGGCCTGGAGTGTAATTTAATGTCACCAGTGTCTGAAAGCTCTCCCTGCTGCAGTGGCTTCTGCATCACTTTTCAGGCGTGATGGGCCACATCTTTTCTGTAGTCTGTACGTCTTGTAGGTGGTGCTATGGGGATCTTAAGCTTGTGAATAACAACAGGGAGAGTGATCTAAAGATCACGAGGCAGAAAATAAATGGTAACTTTGATTTTTTTTTTTTTGTATAAATGAGGTGATTACATTCATATTCATCAAGCCTGCAGCGAGCCGGATCTTGCTCGTGGATCTTTTCAGAGCGTGCAGCCTTCCCGCTATTTAGATTGAATCCCAACATTCTGTAATAGTTCTAAAGGCTTCCTGGAAAGTTTCTTTTGTGCTGGTGCTCAGTGTGGGCACGCTGCATAGTCTGTTCAGGTGTTTGCTTGCAGGAAAATGCATTAATCAAATACCAGTGAAGGAAGTACAGCTTTCAGACACGGCTTTAGCTGATGCTTACGCAACCGCACTGATACAGAAGAGGTGATGGGAGCGAGTTACCAGTTTGCTTTCAGGTGCTAACCGAGTGCCATCTAGTGCTTGCTTTCTAATGCAAAAAACAACGGGTTTACACAGCTGACTTTTCCTGTAATTACATAAAGGACATGGTTTGCAATCCTGCTTTTATGTGACACTTTCATGGAAGACTTTCTGGAGCTGTAAGTAGAGGTGATAACAGTTTTCCTGAGACTAAGACATAAAAATCAACAGGGGCTTCAAAAATGTTGTATTCCTGTGGTGTTTTATAAAGTCTCTTGAATCCAAGTACTGAGTTTTATCTCTCTTTTTATTTCCAGATCATGTATGGAACGCTAGTTTCCATTATAGTTCTACGATCTGTTTATATAGTATTATGGTAAGTAAATGTTTCGTTCAGTGATGTGAGGTATAACTGAGTATTTGCATCTTTCTTTTGGTGGGCTTGAGAAATCGGCAGTGGCAAAATTTCTTTAACTAGGTACATAATGCCCATGGTCTGCTTGGTTGTAAGGGGGTGGACCATCTCCTTGCATTTTTATAGGGGCCTGTAGGGACAGGACAAAGGGGAATTGCTTTAACCTGCCAGAACAGGGGAGATTGAGATGAGCTCTTAGGCAGAAGCTCTTCCCTGTGAGGGTGCTGAGGTGCTGGCACAGGGTGCCCAGAGAAGCTGTGGCTGCCCCATCCCTGGCAGTGTTCAAGGCCAGGTTGGACACAGGGGCTTGGAGCAAGCTGCTCTAGTGGAAGGTGTCCCTGCCCATGGAAGGGGTTGGAGCTGGATGAGCTTTAAGGTCCCTTCCATCCTGAAGTATTATATGATTCTATGATTAATATTAAGTTACTTCTGCTAGAGAAGCTGTGCCAAGCTGAAGGTCACCTTTCTTTCCTGTAAAAGTCATCCCCACGTGCACTTCTGGATTTAGTTCCTCTGCATTGCTAAAACATACTCCTGTCTTTCCAATGACAGTGCTAGCACATATCCCAGCCTGTCTCAACTTATGTATTAGCCTTGATTTCAGCTTATTATGTTTCTTATTTCTTTAACATACAGTAACTTCTTATCAGTCACATGTCTTAGTATGGGACTTGAAGTCGCTCTGAGCTTAGAGTGAAAATCATAGAATCCCAGACTGGTTTGTGTTGGAGGGGCCCTTAAAGCTCATCCAGTTCCAACCCCCCTGCCACGGGCAGGGACCCCTTCCACTAGAGCAGCTTGCTCCAAGCCCCTGTGTCCAACCTGGCCTTGAACACTGCCAGGGATGGGGCAGCCACAGCTTCTCTGGGCAGCTTGTTCAGCACCTCAGCACCTTCACAGGGAAGAATTCGTTCCTTATATTTAGCTTAAACCTCCCCTGTTTAAGTTTGAACCCATTCCTTGTCCTATCAGTGCAGTCGCTGATGAAATCTCAAAGAGCAGTACATTATTCCTTCCAGGCTGCTGCATCCTCCTATCCCCATCATTTGTTGCTGTTCTTGCCCTGTTTCCTTTATACTTCTCATCTCATTTGTGGGGCTGCTTCCTTCCCAAAATTACAACTTGGCAAACATCATTCTCTGTTCGCAAAGCATGTTCCCCATTAGTAAGTGATGCCAGTCTCCCTCTCATCCCTTCACAAAACACCACCATTTATTCCCTGAACAATTCTAGCTGTAATTACCTAATTACCAGCATGTACAACGTACCATTTGATGCTCTTTCATGTCCTGGGCTTGCTTCTGTCTCTAGAGCACTGAGTTGGGAGTATTACAGTGTGGTCTCTGCCATGTACTGCATGCTCTCCATGCATCTATTAGACCGAACAGTTTTGCTGGTTTATATTGGCAATGCACTTGTTGTGAACAAGCACAACTTGTACGTGATTAGTTTGCCCTGTGGAAGAAGCTCTACCTGTCTTCTTTTGCACATGTTGGATGCCTCTGCTCACAGCTCTGAAATGCGTGCTCTGTGTAACCCAGCACTGGAAAAACAGCTGGGGAATGTGTTTTAATCCAGGATCTAAACTGTGCATTCATTATGCTTAAAGATAACTTGAACAGTATTGCAGTTCATTGGAGACTTTAGGGTGGGAATTGGGTTTGATTTTGGACTTGTTACCAGGAAAGGAAAAATGGTACCAACATCCATGTAGGAAGTTTTAATTCCATGCTCCAACCTGAATGCAGATAGTGGGGGTACATTTATTAATGATGCACTTTCTTCCATATGATTCTTCAGTGTGTTTAGTGTATCCTAAAGATACCCCCCCCCCCCCCCCAAGTGAAACTGATATTTTTTCCATCCCAAATAACACTCAGCAGTAAAATATAACATGAAAATACTGTTTTCTAAACCATTCATTCGGTTAGTTGGAGTTGGAACTGGATGATCTTAAGGTCCTTTCCAACCCTAACTATTCTATGATTCTGTGGTGGTCTGCAATCACCAAAGACTACAGTCACTTTGAAAGACCTTATTTAACCAAGTCCCCTTGTAGAGGGATATCATGGATTGGAAAAGAGCCTCTTCTTTGGGGAGAGGACTGATTTGTAACATGGCTGTTTTTTAACTGAAAGATTACAGATGGGACTGAAGAATTCATGTGTTTTTCCAGCTTCGGTTTTGCCATTTGGTGCATTAGGAGATGGCAGGATTTAGTGGAACAGTTAGAAATACAGAAGTACAACATATAAAAGGCCAGTCTTGGAGAATGGGAAGTCAGGAGAAGGGGAGAGGTGGTTAAATATAATACTTTGATAGATGAGATTTGAAGTTGATATTTTTCCTTTTGGGAAGCAAACCAGCTTATTTGTATGTAATAGGAGTTATGTATGTCGTGTTGCCTTTAAAGCATCTGGGACTAAACTTTACATCATTTCTCTCTCTCTAGGGTATACCCATGGCTTAGAGGTCTAGGCTATACATCTTTAACTGTATTTTTAATGGGATTTTTTCTCTGGAATGTGGACAACATTTTCTGTGATAAATTGAGGTGAGTCCTTTCACTTTGTCTGCATAACTCTTAATAGTCTTCTACCAGAAAGTTTTCTTTCTTCTATGGTGTATATTCAAGTCCATCTCAAGGTATGTATTGTACACTGCCTACAAAACATTTCACAAGGGTTTTAATCCAGTTTGCTTATGACCCACTCAGCAGTGGGTTTATACTTTTAACTTAAATTCATAGTTCAAGGATAGGTTTCATCCAGTCCACCAACCCCCTGCCATGGGTAGGGACACCTCACCCAAGCTCTGTCCAATCTCACCTTGAACACTGGCAGGGATGGAGCATTACCACTTCTTCTGGTAGCCTGTCCCAGTGCCTTACCTCTGACTTCACTTTAAATAGAGAGAAAGTAATGTCACTGAAGTAATTTTGAGGGTCTGTGGCTTGCTAAATCACCATTCTGTGATTCTAGGAAGGGTTGATGCCAGTGTCCAGAAAATCCATCCTTGACTCTCTGATACGATGTTATGCTGCTGAATCCATGGTGGACAGAACTGTCCTAGTAGGTTGCTTTGTCAGGGTCAGGTCATAGTGTGAGGTAAAGTGATCTAGTGTTCTCTATCTGTCCATTCTGGCTTTGTAGTCCCTGCGGTAGGCTAGGCCAATTGAAATAGTGCTCCAACAAAGTTTCCTTGAAACTCTTCTTTTAAAGTTTATAGGTGTGCTGGATATAAAACATGGTGCCTCATAGACCCATACAGTAGTTTGGGTCGGAAGGAGCCTTAAAGCTCATCCAGTTCCAACCTCCTGCCATGGGCAGGGACACCTTCCACTAGAGCAGCTTGTTCCAAGCCCCTGTGTCTGACCTGGCCTTGAACACTGCCAAGGATGGGGCAGCCACAGCTTCTCTGGGCACCCTGTGCCAGTGCCTCTGCATCCTCACAGTAAAGAACTTCTTTCTTATATCTAACTTGAGCTTCCCCTGTTTTACTTTGAATCCATCATCCCTAGAAACGCTTGATCCCAATGGGATATAAAAGTTACTTGCCAACTCAAGTGGATGGGTACACACTGACTTTGAGATATTGGCATCAGGGTTCACTTTTGCAGCTGCATCACATCACTGCTGAGCTCATAATCCCCAATTCACCAAGCCCTCAGATCCGTGGGGCTTTTGAACTTGTCCTAGGCTCAAAGATTACAGCAGCTGCTGAAGCACTTATTTCCATCCTCCTTTTCTAAAGGGGAAAACAAAAGTTAGTATGTTTCCTGTAATACTTGTTTTGTGCTGGGAAAGGAATAAATATGCTTGTGTACTGGTTTTAATCAGATGTCTGCAGAGCCTTGGATTTCTGCAGGTGCTATTATAACTCAAGCCTTTGGAGAAAATATACTCCAGTTCCTTGTAATTCTTTATTCTCTAAAGATCTAACTCGTGACTCATCCACCTACCTGCTCTTTTTGCTTTTAATGTTCAAAACTGCTTATCAGTTAATGTTCAGAGTTTGTTTATCCATATTTCACCAAATCTAGAGCTTATTAAAGAAAAACCAAGAAGAAGACATCTATAGCACTCAGCTTCCCTCATTAGATCCATGCGCTTTTGAATTGAGCTTTGAGATCTCCTGCTCTCCAAGGGCTTGAAGGTTGTGCTGGAGTCACAATCTGTCTGTTCATTGTTTTATTCCCAGCCTGACTGAACCCAAGCTCTGTGTTCATATTTGTGACTGAGCAGTAGCCAGGGATTAGCATTTAGGCAGGGGGATTGAACACTACAACATCAAGCAGTAAATATGTGTTGCAGAAGCTGCAGGTTTTCCTTCCTTAACATCTGCCCCAAGGAATCACTGTCCCTGGAAGTGTTCAGGAACTGGCTAGGTGAGGCCCTCAGTGACTTGGTTTAGTGGTGGTAATGGTTGGACTTCATTAAAGGACTTTTCCAACCTAGTTGATTCCATGATTCTGCTCATGTTCCAACTTGCACTGTCATTCATGCCCACATGAAAGAGCAGCAGTGGATAGTAGTCTGTGCTCTTGGTAAATTGTGACACCCTCTCTGCAACATCTTGGACCATAGCTCCTGAGAGGCAGAATATCACCCATGACTCCCTGTCAGGCCAGCAGATGGGCGTCTCAGTGTCCCTTAGCAGAGTAACCCACTACAAGCACTTGTTTCTTCCTGTGGTACCCACTGTGTGCTCCTGGCACAGTTCCTATTTGCAGACCTTGCTCATAGGTGTCTACAGGTATTAAAGCTTCATATCTTGTTTTTGTTGTGATGGTGAAGGGTGGAGACTCAGAGTCCTGCTTTTGTGGGTCACCAGAGTCCAAGGTGCCTCAGTCTCTGCAGTGTCTGCTGCAGGAGCATGGATCTGAAACCACCATCTCCATCTCAGCTCCTCTAATACTGTGCAGCCTTTTAATTGTTCCCTGCAACTTAGCAACCTGATGTAAGAGATCCTCGACCTGTGCACACCTTGTGCAGGTACTTGCCTTGCCTCCAGGGGAAGGGTCTAGGCACTCATTGAAACCTATTGCTTGTACTGAAGTCTCCTTCCTTATTGGCTTTGTCGTGGTGGAAGCAGCACAAAGGCAAGCTGAGCTTCCATGGAAGCAGCAGAAAGGCAAGCTAAGCTTCCATGGAAGTAGCAGAAAGGCAAGCTAAGCTTCCATGGAAGCAGCAGAAAGACAAGCCAAGCTTCCATGGAGCTAGAGAATATAGGTGGTATGATTGCCAGATGTGATGTCTTATGAATCCCATTTCCTCTCTCAGACTTGAACACAGAATTTCATCCTATGGACAGCAGTTCATAGGGTTTTGGGGAAGAGAATGGTAGAACTCATTTGGGAATGTGGGATGCCATAAATAGGTTCCCTCATATTTGGGTCCAGAAGTAACTGATCACTCATTGTATGAAGAAGCGTGTGCTTTCTTTAAATGTGTAAGGAAGCCAGTTTGCTAGTATCTTTCTGTGTTGAAAGAATAAGATATAACTGCTATTCCTCACCCCCTGAAAGCCTCACTTGTGAGACACGTATTATGGAATTTAAGAATCAAGCACTGTGATTTGAGATTGCTTATCTTGGGAGATAACCCACCCTTGCATGGTGTTTCTTTCTTACAGAGCATTACGAGAGAAGATGCCTCCTGTTGTGGGAGCTGTGACGCAGTTTCATGCATGGTGGCATATTCTCACAGGCCTGGGCTCTTACCTTCATATCCTGCTGAGGTAAGAAATACTTCCTAAGCTGGATGTTCATCAAGTAGGAGTTTTCCCACATTCAGATTTACTTCCAAATGTGTCATTCAGAAGAGTAAGGAAAAGACTTAATAGACTTGGTGGGAGTTTGTCTTTCCTCTTTACAACTGGTCTAAAAACTCTTCATCACTGTAATCTTTAAATAGCCATGGTTCCTCGGGAATATGTAATTCAGAAATGGGAACCCCATAGCAATTAAACTGGGAAACTATTTGACAGTATATTCATTTGAAAACATCAGCTCTTAATACCTGTCTGTTCTCGAGCTGCAATCCTGAAGTACTTCAACATGTTTAATTTTAGAGGCATAACTAACCTTTTTGATAGGCATTGTTGCTTCTGAAACCTACCCAGGCATCATGCTACAGAGCAGGAGAGTGACAGTTGAACTGGTTGGAGCAGAGCTGTTCCCAGAAGGGCAAGGTATTAGTTTTAGAAGGAGACTTAAGAGTATAAGCGAGTCTGCAGCCACATCTTTGTTTTTTTGCTCTCTACCACCATCTAGTGGAACCAGGAGCAAAAGTAGAATTTAAGCTGGAATCTGAAGGATTTCTGTAGTTTGCTCATTATATCATGAAATGGCATTTTATCACTTAACCATAACTAAGAGAGTATTTGTTTAACAGATATATTCTATGTACTTCAGAACAGATCCATTTCATATAGTATTGTATATGTCTGTACATTGTAATGGATATATTTTATCTATGTATGAGGCATACATAGATACAGCTCTTCTCTGGAGCCAGGCTGAGAGAGCTGGGCTGAGTCAGCCTGAAGAAGAGAAGGCTCCTGAAGGGGAGACCTTAGAGCAGCTCCAGTGCCTAAAGGGGCTGCAGGAAACCTGGAGGGGGGCTTGGGACACAAGGGCCTGTAGGGCCAGGCCAAGGGGAATGGCTTTAACCTGCCAGAGGGGGGACTGAGATGAACTCTTAAGCAGAAGCTCTTCCCTGTGAAGGTGCTGTGGCTGCCCCATTCCCGGCCAGGTTGGACACAGGGGCTTGGAGAAAGCTGCTCTAGTGGAAGGTGTCCCTGCTGTGATGCCACTGTGTGGCTGAGAAAATACTTGGGAAACCACTGCAGGGAGAGTGTGTCTTTCATTGGGGTAAGACAGAGAAATCAGGCTTCTGCATGTTCCCCAAGGGCCAGAGGATGTAAACACTGATTATCTTCTCTGTGCAGCATGGTGAACAAACCTTGCCCGTGCTATCCAAACTCTGCATCAGCTTGCTTTCGCTAATGAATTTTCTTCAAAAGCTTATCTCAAGCTGTTTATGGCAGCAGACAGCCTGGCAGCCAAATGGAGCAGCTGTTTTCCACATACTCTGACATATTTTATATATATACACACACAAACATATGTATGAATATATATGCATGTAGATATTTATAGACACATGTGTACATGTGTGCATATATACATATGTATATACAAAAAAGCTGTCAGAGCAGCTATGGGAATGGTGCTTATTTTCTGTGCATTTTCTCTTTACTAGCTATTTTTACCTCTGATAAAGAAGGAGAATACTGTGTTAGAGGTAGAAAAACAGATAGTAATTAAATTTTCTGAAGTATCATAAAATCACAGTGGTTTGGGCTGGAAGGACCTTAAAGCTCATCCAGTTCCAACCCCTGCCACGGGCAGGGACACCTTCCACTAGAGCAGCTTGCTCCAAGCCCCTGTGTCATAGAATCGTAGAATGGTTTGGGTTGGAAAGGACCTTAACATCATCCAGTTCCAACCCCCCTGCCATGGGCAGGGACACTTCACGCTAAACCATCTCACTCAAGGCTTCCTCCAATCTGGTCTTGAACACTGCCAGGGATGGAGCATTCACAGCTTCCTTGGGCAACCCATTCCAGTGCCTCAGCACCCTAACAGGAAAGAACTTCTTCCTTATATACAATCTAAACTTCCTCTGTTTCAGTTTTAACCCGTTACCCCTTGTCCTATCACTACAGTCCCTAATGAAGAGTCCCTCCCAGCACCCTTGTAGCCCCCTTCAGATACTGGAAGGCTGCTCTGAGGTCTCCATGCAGCTTCTCTTCTCCAGGCTGAACAGCCCCAACTTTCTCAGCCTAGAAGGTCCAACCCAACCTGGCCTTGAACGCTGCCAGGGATGGGGCAGCCACAGCTTCTCTGGGCACCCTGTGCCAGCGCCTCAGCACCCTCACAGGGAAGAGCTTCTGCCTAAGAGCTCATCTCAGTCTCCCCTCGGGCAGGTTCAAGCCATTCCCCTTGGCCTGTCCCTACAGGCCCTTGTCCCAAGCCCCTCTCCAGCTTTCCTGGAGCCCCTTTAGGCACTGGAGCTGCTCTAAGGTCTCCCTGGAGCCTTTTCTTCTTCAGGGTGAGTGACCAATTGGTCATCACCAATGACCACTTTAAAAAGTGAGGTCATGCATAGGAAATGATCTCCTGAGGGGACAGGATGTATGAGAACAGAGCTGTGACACAGAATCAAGCTGTGCTGCTCCCCCCTCCTTAACATCTGCTGTATTTTGTGGTACACTGATTTAATTTCATCCTTCCAAAATGACAGGCTCTAGTCCCTGTTTAGTCTGTTCCCTAGTGGAGAGAGAATTTACTTCCCTGGGTTTCTCTCTTTCTCCCCCACATAGGCCACAGGGTAGATTAGTTTGCTAACCATAGTCTAGCACAGAGGGATTTACTGTAGCCAGTGTCTCCTATTTTGTCTATATCTAGGCAGAGTGGGTACCCTTGCAATCACAGAAGCAACACTTTCCTAGCTGGAAAATAAGACTGGGATTAGTACATCATTATTATTGTATCGACTGTCTTATACATGAAATTTTAAGCACACTTTTCTCCTTTTCCTCAGTTTATACACAAGGACACTTTTCCTGAAACACAGGCCAAAGGTGAAGGTAAGCAAGCACTATTTTGTGTCCATTAAAGCCACTCCACCATTTGGATACCTTATGCTTTGAATTTTCACTGGGGCACACTTATTGTTTGATGTCTGCTCTACATCCCAAGTAATGCAGTTGAAATGATGGTTAATAGTGTTTGGTTTCTGTTCCAAGAGACATGATATTCCAGGAAATCTTTCCCCTTCTTCCTCTTTTTCTTTTAACAGTTTGTCTTTGGAATCTGGCCTATTCTTCTTGTGGAACCACCCAAGAAGCTTTGACTGAGACCCAAGCAGTCACCTGCCATCACCTAGCCTGGCTGAATAAAGAGATTCAACAGTTCCTATGGCTGAAGTGTCAAACTTATGGATCAGTTCAAGCACCATTGCTACAAAAGGACTTCTCTGTGTTCCCAGGCCAGCACAGAGCAAAAAGTTGGCACACTAGGGAAATAATGTTTAGTACAGCTTTATTCTAAGTTGTTAAAACAAAGATTAAGACACAAATATTTTTATGTATATATTGTATAGCTGATGATACTGAGCTAATATTTCGTGCTGGTCACAGAAAACTAACCATTTTTGAAGTGGAATTGCAGATGTTTTTCATTCAGTTGTTCTTTCTGTGGTTGAAACTAATATTAGTAACTGAATGACAAAGGCAGGCCATTGATGGCCAAGCTGAGCAGTTGTGTGGCCTATAGTGAACTGAATGCTTAACCCGAACTACTTTAATCTTGCACTTTTATACAACTAATGAAGTATATAATGATTGATTTAGAGCTTTATTCTATCCTGCTTTTCCACAGCCTCCTTTGCCATTTATATTTGAAGCAAAGCGGTTGGGATACCTGTGCCATTTAGTTCCTTTTGTACAAAGCTTCCATTTTCTCTTTAGTCCAACTGAATACATCATGGAAGATGTTCCAAAGTGACCAGCAGAAGATGCTTAAGATGGTGAAGCAATATAAGGGTTCTTGCTTGTGTGTGGAAACTGAGTTCCTCATTTGTTTGACCAGTGATCCACCAGGAGACTGCAGGGTGACTGTATTAACACAAGAAACACTTTTGTTATGTTTTATAAGTATTACTTCCATACCTTTTCTACCATTACTTTTCACTCCCCATGTCCCATTCATACCACAGATTGACAAACACCTCCAATGTGTGCTTTGAATTCATCTCTTCCCCTTATTTGATGAGTCTTAAATACTGGTCTGACTTTCAGAAGCATCTTCTTACCCAGACATATTGAAAGAAAGAGTAAAGAACAAGGTGGATATATGAAATTGGCAGCACTTCACTTCCTCTGCATCTGTCCATCACATGGTTACTCTGTGGAAAGTTGACCACCTTTTGGAGACCAAGCTTTGGGGGATTAATGGAGGGGACAGACTCTGGTTTGTGCCCTTTTATCTACCCAGATGATGAAAATTAGTAAGAAAGCATAAAGAAAACATTGAACTAACACAGTTCTTCCAAATATTATGCCTCATATTGGAAGCTGTGGGTTTGACTTCAGAGCTTGGGACAGCTATCCCACAGAGTCTATCTCTGGGTCTGTTAGCTGCCATGCTATGCTGTTGCTGTCTGCTTTTGATGCTCTGAGGGATTTATCCTTCTTGCCATGAAGAAATAAAAGGGAAATGCTCAGACTCGTCAGAAACCCCACTCAGTATTGATTTAAAACATGCCCAAAACAGCAAAGCGTGGGATTATAGCTACAACTGTCTCCCAGACCACAAAGTCATGGCTGTTGTACAATCAGTGCTGATTCAAATTGTCTCCTCCATTAATGTTTCCTCCTTTAATGTCTTTTTCTCCTGTTTGCAGCTCAGCTGCATCTTCTGTGTCCATCAGTAGCGCTGCCACTGATGTGAATCTCCAAACAAGACCACTGCTTTTCTTACGTGACTGACCCTGGACTCTTGGGATCAAACAGACCCAAACTCGGGTCTAGAAAAAGATACATAACCTTGAGTGACTTCAGTGAGCTTTAAGCACGTGCTGAGAGCAGCACATTTCAACCTAGAAAGCACTACAAAGACTCCTGAAGGATAATGTTAGAACAGATTTGTTGTCTGTAGGTTCCAGTTCCATAGCCAAGGTCAGCATCTGTGTGTGATCTTCAGACAGAAAGAGGTCGGAATTAGAGCACAGAGGAAGGAAAATGCTGCCTTGGATCAAGTGTCTTTATTTATATATTTTGTAAAGAGATTTGAGAACTGTTCTAAAAATGTAGCTTAAAAAGAAGTGCCTGCCTATTCCTCTCCAGGCTCTCAAGCATGCTTCTGCACAGTGCATCTGATTGTCTTATTTAGTCTATATTTAGTTTACATGTTTTCCTAAGTTAGGGAAAGAGTCCCATAACAGGGACATTGCAGCAAGACACATCAACAGTCAGTTGTGACGTCTACTAAGGATGAGATTATCCTTAAGAATATGAACAAACCCTTTATTTTAGTGGCCTTAGTTTTGTTACTGGAGGATGTGGGGGCTCTAGTTGGTTTCCCTGTAAATGAGGAACCAGATCATGCTGAAAAGCCACTTTATTATTGATAAAGCATCTCTATAATGGTTTATATTAAAGAAGCTTATTGATTTTCCTACACATTTGCAACTAGAAAGTGTATTTTTTCCCCAGATCCTGTTGAACTGAATTGTCAGGGTTTAAGAAACAAAGGTGGAAAAGCTCTTGTTTGAATTTCATGCTGCTGTTAGCTTTTCATTCAAGTATTGTCACTGATGCTTTTATCTTTAAAAGGAATTATTATGTAGATTGGCTTCTTTCTTCATTCCAAACAACCAAAACCATGCACACCTCTACCACCCTTCCAGCAGCCTTTGTTACAGGTTATGTTAGACCCTGAAGAATGTAATTTCTATGTGTTATTCTCTATCCTATAAATAACCTAAAGTGATGGGTGCTTTGGTTTGACTGCCTTACTGATCTTGGGAGTGATACTGAAGCTCGTTTTAACTGGGTGTCACTGAGATTTAGACTGCCTTTTCTTGTGCCTGGAAAGACATCTTTATTCCTGTGATGTGTTAAATGTCTGTTAAATTGCTTTATATTTATATCACTTGTAAGACTTGCTGATTTCTTTCCCTACAAACCTTGGATCAGCACATCCCAAACTTTTCTTGCACTACATCTTGTATCTTTGATCCCGTTTTTTGAGTAGGATTCAGACAACAGCTACTTAAAGGGGTATTAGGGAAGTAGCGTGTGTTGTTTACTATCAGTCCTATGGGATGTGTTGGACAGACTTGATAACAATGAATTCTTTTATTCTTTAACATCTATGAAGAACCAGGACATCTGCCACTTTACGACCATCAGTTTGGCACAGATCAGCAGCAAGCAGTTCTGCAGACCATGAGTTGAATAATTCTTCCTTGGAAATAAGAGGAAAACCTCAAAATTACTCTCCCAGTACAGATCAACACCATACCTTATGCTGGGAATCTAGATTTTTCTGGATACAGCTCCAGACACGCATTATCCATAACAGAAGATAAGACATAAACAGAAATGTGCCATCAGAAGGCATCTCATCTGTGTTTGGATGCAGCGTTGCTGGCTTGCGGTATTAGTTATCTCTGGACTTCATTTTCACCTCTGGACTTCACTGTAATGCTTTTCCCTCTAGCACAGGGAAGATGTGCTAGCTACTAGGGTCGAGAAGAGCACCCCAGAGTGAGAATTGGGACATGCAGTCGATCACTTGCCAATCTACCTCTGTCATGTGTTGTATTATACCTGTGCCCTTAATTCTATCTGCCTGAACGTGCTGACGTTAGAGCAGCCTCACTTAGACCATGCAACAGTATTATACTGAGCTGTGGCTGACTGTGCACTCTCCATAATCAGCTTGTTCAGTGTCTGCCACTCTTAGGTTGTGCTCAGCCTGTGGTTCATCTATGTGGAGAAGTCTGGCAGCTTTAGAAAGACACATGAGTAGGAGGACTTTAATTCAGATGTGTGAAGTGAAACCTTCTGGGCAGTTAAGTTACATTTAAAGCTAAGATGCAAACAGTATCACTTGGTTTACATGATTTTGGGAGGGACGTGATAAAAAGTACTGGTTTATAATTAGTTTATAATTCTCTTTTAATCTAATATTGTGCTGTGCTTATTCCTGGGCCTGTCTTGTTTTGCTGAAGCAAAATTGTATGATTTAAAAGGTGGCCGATTCTTTTGGCTGTTGTACATTTGCTTTCAACACCTGGTTTTAAACAACTGGATGAGTTCTTCAGCCAGCTCTTCCCTGTGAGACTCTCGGCAACAGAAAATCCTCCCAGATATCCCAGACTGGTTTGGGTTGGAAGGGACCTTAAAGCTCATCCAGTCCCAACCCCGGCCACAGGCAGGGACCCCTTCCACTGGAGCAGCTTGCTCCAAGCCCCTGTGTCCAACCTGGCCTTGAACACTGCCAGGGATGGGGCAGCCACAGCTTTTCTGGGCACCCTGTGCCAGCGCCTCAGCACCCTCACAGGGAAGAGCTTCTGCCTAAGAGCTCAGCTCAGTCTCCCCTCTGGCAGGTTAAAGCCATTCCCCTTGGCCTGTCCCTACAGGCCCTTGTCCAAAGCCCCTCTCCAGCTTTCCTGCAGCCCCTTTAGGTATTGGAAAACTGTTACAAGGTCTCCCTATACCACTAGTGCTCCTCACAGTCACAACTACCTTGTTACATCTGCCTTCAAGTATTCCAGTATTACTGCTGCTTTTAAAGCTGTTTGTGGTTGTGGGTTTGGCATTTGATAGCCGGCGCTACATCAATTCAATCCACCACTTCTCTAGTGGAAGATGAGCTGTAACGAAGCAGCACTGCTGTGTTCTTCAGCACACCTCCTGATCCAGAACGCACCATTTTGCATATGGAATGTGCACCCCACAATTTAAATTAGCATAGTCAGGTAAAAGGTTTGCTTTAAAGAAACCCCATCTGCACTTTGTAAGCAGGTGGTGGGAGGCTTTAACTGCCAAGTGCTGTTGAACTGTGTGATTTAGTATGGAGGGGAATAAGTGATGGAGTCCTTATTACCCAGAACAAGCGAAAAGCCAGGAGATTAAGAAATCTTACATGGGAAGAGAATAACAGAGATTAAGCACAGAACCCCATGTATTAAGACAACCACCCTCCTGGTTCCTGCACTTTAGACACTTGTGTAACGAGCCTGAATGATTTGTTATTTATACATTTAACTTTTCATGCACTCTTTACCCTAGAAGTGATGTGCTCTCTATGACATTCGGTTCATTGCAGGTTACTTAGCTGCTGTTTTATGAGGATGGATTGTTTCATACATAAATGCATTTCTTACCCATCTGGAATGTCCTCTGCCAGTTTTGGGTGTCCATAACGTAACTACAGAGAATATACTGCCTGTTACGACTGGGTTTGGGTTTCTTTGTTCAGCTTCTCGCTCATAGCTGCCAAGTGCCTGATCTCTCTGTCACAGGTCTCTTTTTGAGCAATGAGGCTGTGTTTTCTATTGGGGTCCCTAACACAAGGTCCTTGATAGGTGGGGGTCAGTTTGGGTTTGGTTAAAGTTCTCCCATTGAAGTCACAGCACTCCTGTTAGTCACTTTCCAGAGCCATATGTGGCTGCCTCTGCTTGGCTCAGCCTTGAGCCTCACTACCCCACCCCACATCCCTGATGCTGTTGCATCCTTTCAGGTTTGAAAGCTGGCTGAGGGATTTAGCCCCACAGCTGTTTATTCAGTTCAGTGATGGGCAGTGTGAGAGCGCAGCAACCAAGCAAGCACTTCATGCAGAGCCCCATGACTGGAACTCCACACAGGACTGGGGACATGGGGGTTCGTATGTACCATTCTGAGGGCAGGGTTAATGCCTGAACCTCTCCCTTTACTTCAGAACTCTCCCTTTTTACTTGTTGAACGTGTTTAGATTTGATGAGGCATGGAATTGCAGATTTAAGAAGAACCAAGCTCAGAATCCAGCTAATGCAAGACCCTAAACCAGTGCTTGCAAGTGTTTTTTGCGCATGCTTCACAGGAGTTGTATCTGCTTGATGGTTAGAGCAGATTGTTGAGACATTAAAATGCAAAGATAAAAGGTCTCTTGATCATCTGTCCACAGGAATAGCTGTAAGCACAGTCTCATACATCCTTCTTTCCCTAATGCTGTGGAACGCTCTGTTTCTCCAAAACTAATGTGGAATAGAAATAGGCTTTCACACATAGAATCATAGAACGGTTTGGGTTGGAAAGGACCTTAAGATCATCCAGTTCCAACCCCCCTGCCATGGGCAGGGGCACCTCACACTAAACCATGGCACCCAAGGCTCTGTCCAGCCTGGCCTTGAACACTGCAAGGGATGGAGCATTCACCACTTCTTTGGGCTCATAGAACATCATGTACTGACATGCTGTCTAAATTGAAGCCTTGGTCGGTCACTGTGGTGTGTACGCTGTTGCTCCCTAGATTTTGGAAGAGGGAGTTTCAAGCAACATAAGCAGCGAGTTCCTCCTTAGACAGAACAGGATCTGATTTTTCTCTTGATCTTCTAAGTTGACATTGTTTGATGTTGACTGTTGAACTCAGCTGAATGCACTGATGATGTTTACTGTCTTAGCAAATAACATCTGTCCACCTGTAATGGACATGGAATACCCCGTGTTAACATGACCAAACTTCCTAATATTGACACTATGCTAACGTGGGGTTTTCCTCGAGTTCAATATATCATTGCAGATGGCTGATGACACTGTGACAGATGAACAGCAGTTGACTGAAAACAGCTCCATTGAGCAATGTTTATTGACCATTTTCATATACTGAACTGACTCTTCGTACCAAACCAGCTGGTGACTAACATTAGCCTTATATGTATCAGCAGATCTTGTTTTGCAAAGCACAGTAGCTTTGGAATAGTTGCTGTCTTTCCTTTGTTATTCCTGCTGCAGTCGAGCACTCATTTGTGTCTTTGGAGTTGAAATTATTAAAGAGGTTTGGTTTAAATACAGCTGTTCCCAGGTGTTTCTTGGCTTTTGGGTTGCCCGGGGCTGGCCAGCGTGTGATGCTGTTCAGTGGATGGGTGGTTGTATGTCTATAGAACAGCAAGGTTTGTATGACCTGCATCGGTGGGGAAGCTGCTTGTATGCAGCTACAACAGTGTGAGGCCCTGTGGTAGCAGCACAAAGCTTGGTCGTATTGCCTACAGCCAGCAAACACAGTCAGGTTTTAAATAGAGAAGGATGTGATTGTGTTCATTTTGAAGCCTCTGGGCTCCCCCAGTCTTTGGTGCCTTGTGCTGGAGCCCTTTAAGCACTGGACCTTGCTTGGAGGTGCAAATAGTGCAGGATCTTCTCATCTCCAAATGCAAAACCCAGTGTTAAAGGGACTTCAGGTGCGTGACATGGATGGGAGAGGAAAAGGCAGGAGTCAGAACGTGCCATCACCTTGGAGGTGCAGATTGCACATCCTTTGCCTCATCCTTTCCCTGTTTGTTTCAGTGGGAGGAGGATAATCGCTGCAGGGCAGAACCTCTCCAGGCAGAACCCATGGACCAGAAGGCACTGACTTAGCCAGTTCCATCACATCCCAGCAGCCAGGCTCCTCTGGTGACCCCCAGGTGTTTCCCCCACTTCTGGCAGCAATCCCAGCCTCTCAGAGACCCCATTTTCTCCATCTGTGTCTCTGCAGGGACAGCCTTGAGCTGAATATCCAGTGACCACAAGGCATAAACCTGCTATAGCCAGTGGTGTGAATGTGATAGAACCATGGAATCAACCAGGCTGGAAAAGCCCTTTAAGCTCACCCAGTCCAACCGTTCCCCAGCACTGCCAAGGCCACCACTGCCCCATGGCACTGAGGCCTCGTCTCCACAGGGTGTGAACCCTTGCAGGGACGGTGACTGCAGCCCTGCCCTGGGCAGCCTGTTCCAATGCCTGAGCACCCTCTGGGGCAGGAATTGTTCCTCAGCTCCATCTAAACCTGCCCTGGTGCAGCTTGAGGCCGGTTCCTCTTGTCCCATCCCTTGTTCCTTGGGAGCAGAGCCCAGCCCCTCCTGGCTCCATCCTCCTCTCAGGCACTTGTAGGCAGCCATCAGGTCCCCCCTGAGCCTTCTCTTCTCCACACTGACCCCCCCAGGTCCCTCAGCCCTTCCCCATCACACCTGGGCTCCAGGCCCTGCACCAGCTCCGCTGCCCTTCTCTGGCCCCACTCCAGCACCTCCATGTCTCTCCCCAGAGCTGAACACAGGATCCGAGGTGCAGCCCCACCAGTGCCCAGCACAGGGGCACAATCCCTGCCCTGGCCCTGCTGCCGCACTGGTGCTGATCCAGGCCAGGGTGCTGGGGGCTTCCTGGCTGCCTGGGCATGAGCTGCTCAAGGATCCCCAGGTCCTTTTCCATGAGCGGTTTCCAGCCACTCTTCCCCAAGCCTGGAGTGTTGCATGGGGTTGTTATAACCCAAATGCACTGGGAGAACCAGTGCAACCTCCCCTCGGTTCTTGCTTGGGGATGCTGCACACAGAGGCACGTCCACACTCCACAGAGAAGCATTCCCTGAACGCTGGGCTGGGTGAAATCCAGCTTTGCATTTGGAGCCTGCGGCTAACCTGGATCTGAGTATTACTTGGAAATTTCCCTGGGGATGAAAACATTGTGGTTGTGTCAAACACCTCCTGCCAACCAGAAAATTCAATTTGGAGCCTGGCAATTCCTTTTCAAGACTGCAGATTTGCTCACAGCTTTCCTAATTTCCCATTCCCCTCCATAGTCTCCCCCCCCCCCCCCCCCCTTGATTTTGCTTTATTCAGCCTGGTCAAAGGCCAAAATTGAAGCTATACATCTGCAACACTTCAGTTCCAGTGGCTCTAACCAGAGATCTGTGTGTGCTCAGTGTTGTACCCACAATAGAAGCAGTTGCTGCCACTGTGGCAGAGGAATTAGTGATCCAGCCTGGACTTCTGGTGCTGCATGCATGGAGATGGAGGGGATAATGGAGGTGTCTCTGTGGGTCAGTGGGTGACTCCTTTTTGGCTGTGAATCATGGAATGATTTGGATTGGAAGTGATGTTAAAGCTCACCCAGTTCCTACCCCCTGCCAGAGGCAGGGACACCTTCCACTAGACCAGGATGCTCCAAGCCCCTTCCAGCATGGCCTTGAATGGCCTTCATCTCCTATTGGCAAGCAGAGTATTGGCCTAGAACTTCAGGTAGGCTCACAGGACCTCTGAAACTGCCCTAACTACTGCTTTTGAAGGTTGCATTGAGTAAGGACATGTACCTCAAGAAGCCCAAGTGATCTTGGCTTGCCTCTTACCCAGACGGACCAAGCACTCAACATGCTTCTGTTGAACATGCTTATGTTATCTCTTGGCCTTATGGAAAACAAGACACAAACTGGCTGGAGGTGGATCTGTGATCAAGTAGCTCTGTGTCCTCAGAGAACATCTTGAGGGCCATCTGCCTCCCCAACAGCTCCTTCTCCAACACCTTAGACAAGGTAAGCCTGGGTTGCACTGAGGTGTAGGTCCAACACCAACACCAGATTGGGGTTCAGCAGAGCTCCTTTTATGGGTCCTCAATGGGGACAGGACAGACAGACAACTCCACCACCATTGTGCTGGCAGCGAGGGAGCATCACCAGAAGCAGGACAAGGACAAATGTCTGGATTCAGCCGCAGCCAAGAGGGGATAATGTGGTGAGACCTGGACCTCAAGGAGGAACCCTGTGCCCTGAGCATGAGCAGACCCGGGATGATGTCCTCATTCACCTTATACCAGCATGGAACTAATGATATTTGGAGCACTATGTGTGACGGATAAAAACATCCCAACCTACAAGAAGAAACTGCATGGACTTACTTTTCAGACCTATTTTGCAGTCAATGTAGTTAATTCAGCATTCTGGCTCCTAAAGTCCTCACCAAGGTGAGACAGCCCCAAGCTGGTACCTCACCTTGCTCACATCCAAAACCCAAGGGGCTCAGTGCATGACACTTTCCAGCTGCTCCTGCAACCCAAATAGCTCCTGAAAAACATTCAACCTCATGAGTCTCCTTCACTGAGACTGACTTGGTCATTTGCATGCAAGAGGCTAACCTTGACTTAATGAAATTAGCAGTAATTAATGGCACTGATAAGCACATAGAAAGGGAGTAAATGGAGCTTGATGCGTGCGGCTCCTGTGGACCGTGCACCCACAGCACAGCACCCAGTGACACCTCGAGACATGGAAGCCTCTGACTCTGGTTTCTCATCACTGAGCTCAGGTAGGTGGATGCTAATGACCAGCAGCTAACATGATCACACAGAGACTGAATTAATTGAGTTACTCTGCTGATGCAAACTGATGTCAACCCCCTGACATTGATAGAGCTGCAGTGATTTACGTGGATGCTTAACCTTAGCACTGCTTTTTTCCTCATAGCTGCTGTGTTGACTCACTGCTGAACAGCAGAACGGAGTAAAGCTGTTGAAATACTGCAGTGTTGTAGGAGCCTGGGGACAAGTCCAGCTTCTCAGGTAAGAGAAGTGATGAAGAGGACAGCCAAACCCACTCTGCACCCAGGCAAACCTGTCCAGTGAGTCATTGCTTAACAGGATTTTGCTCCTTTGAAGTCCTCCAAGGGATTTCCTGTTTTTTCCCTTTGTTTCCCTTCTACTTCTTTGGTGTTTTTTCTTTAATCTTCTTGTTTTCAACACCCCACCTCGGCTGGAAGAAGAACAAGATTAAGTTACAAGATGAAAACCAGCAATGAACCCGCAAACAACAGCATCAGAGCAGACCTGTTGTAGGAGGGATATTTTATACAGCTTATCTGAAAGGCAAACAAACTCCAGCTGTGTTTCCTTGCTGCTAGCATCAGTTGGAGACAATATGGACTTGTTTCTGCTGAAGATCTCTCTGCCACGTCCCCCTAAATTTGACAGTTCACTGTCAAGCTGCTTTGCAGCCGATGCGCTCACGCAAGCCCCTCCAGAGCAGCTGTGGCTCTTCAGTAAGGCCCAGGACATTTGATTCTAGGTCTGTCAATATGCTCCCATCACATGGTGTTTGTGTTCAGGATGAAGTAAAAGACCTTCTTCCCATACCATGATCCATGTTACATCCCAGCAGATCCCTTCCTGGAGCAGCAGCCCCATGTCAGGCTTGCACAACCATCACAGCAACAATCCCAGCCTGGACACACCATGAGATCTCAGCATTGCTCAGGCCAAGGGGAATGGCTTTAACCTGCCAGAGGGGAGGCTGAGATGAGATGTTTTCCCTTGACTGGATACATGCCTTGTCCCCCCTTTGGGCTTTTCTCCTGGGAAGAAGCTGCATGGGAAGGGTATTTCCATCCTCCTCTTTTCCCCTGGACTATTGATGTCACTGAACTGCATTATTTTAATATCACTGAACTGGATGATAAACACTTCCCCATCTCTCAATTCGGAAATCATTTTTCCCTCTTTTTTTTGGCATCAGTGCCCTCTATTTTGGCAAAGACATACAGCAACGAAAAGACATTGCGCTGCCTGTTTATATAATTAGACTTATTAAAATACCATGTGCAGAGAGGAAACAACCTGGACGCTTGGGGATGGGTTTATATCCTTGGGCAGTGGGAGTTCCCAGCCTCACACATGACGACTGGTCTTTTTGTGCTATATGACCACTGCTGGGTATGTTTTTTCTCCCTTTTCCCTCTTTAAAACTCAGGGACGCCCATATCAGACAGTGCCATCCTTCTGGGAACCCATGGAGCAAGACCGAAGGATGCAGCACCCAGATCAAGCATCCCAAGCACATCCCACTGGCCCCACACAGCAGCAAATACCTCTTTCCACAGCCCAGACCACCTGAGGCCCACTGAAGGCACCACGGCAAGTCCCAAGGCTGGATTTAGGCTGCAAACACTCACTGAATCCCAGCTTGGTTTGGGTTGGAAGGGACCTTAAAGCTCATCCAGCTCCAACCCCTGCCACGGGCAGGGACACCTTCCACTAGAGCAGCTTGCTCCAAGC